AGCGCTGGAAAGTATTATTGACGATCACATCAGGGAATACCTCGATAGGTCTAATATACTCCATGAAGCCTGACACGGTTTCAGGAAAGGCAGAGCCTGCGTTACCAACCTACTGTCAGCTTGGGACGACTGGACATCATGCTAAGATATGCATATACCAGTCCATGTGGTCTTCCTAGACTTTGAGAAGGCATTTGACACTGTTCGACATGACCTTCTCCTGCGTAAAATAAGCCAGGCAGGTATAGGTAAGCCACTTCTGTCATGGTTAAAGTACTACCTGGCTGAAAGGCAATTGTGCACTAAGGTCAATCTTGTACGATCACCTTGGTACAGCTCGTCATCAGGAGTGTTGCAGGGTCCCATCCTAGGCCCACTGATGTTTTTTATTTTTACCATTGATCTATCATCCCGTCTAAGCCGCCCGAATGTTCTATACGCTGACGACGTAAAGATATAGAGGGCGATAAAGTGTTCGGAAGACTCAGATAGGCGACAGACAGACCTGAAACTTCTGGAAGACTGGGCGGTGGGCAGTGGTACGGCTTTCAGTCCGAAAAAGTAGTGAAATTACGCACATGTAGGCTGCAGAATGCAAGCTACACCTTGTGCAACAAAAGCTCGTCCTGCACAACGTCCGAGCTTGACTTAGGTCTAGGTCTAACGGGGAATATGGACACAAGCGTAAATTAAACGGGGGATGTCGCGAGGGCAAATGCGGTTATGTGCTTTACACATCGACAGTTAAGTGCACTCACTCCTGAGCTCTTTCTAAGGTTGTACAAAACATACGTCAGACCACACCCTGAAATGCATGATATTATTGTACCCCCACCGCTTAGAAGAGACGCCAACCTCTTGGAAAGAGTCCAACGATGGGCAACAAAAGGAGTGGTTGTTCTCCGAAATAAACTATATGATGTAAGGCTGAAGAAATTAGGCCCGTTCAAACTTAGCTACCGTCGTCTTACGGGGGATTTAATTACTGCCTACAAAATAACAAATGACCAGAATCACCCAAATAAAGGTGTTCTGCAATTGAGTAGGTATAGGCTTCCTCGTGGAAATTCCAGAAGGATAGCTCATCAGATGGCATGGATTCTGGCGCGCTCCAACTTCTTTTCACTGCGGGTTTGCCGTCCCTGGAATTCCTTACCGACAGATGTAGATATGGCACCGTCTGTGGACGCCTTTAAGCGGAGGCTGGACAGTCATGCAGAGGCACAAGGACTGCATCCAACTGGCCTATCCCCTTAACATCGCATACACCATCCAGGAGTAGACAATTAAACTTCACTAATTATATCAATTATTATTATCTTTTCTCTTGACGACGATACCGGAGGACTAACTGGTAAAAGGGTCAACTCCACTAACAGCAATAACAAAGTCCCAACACACCACATACTACAAACAACATGTAATTAATCCCAGCCCTGCTCCTTTTGGAGTCAACCAGAGCTACGACAGTCAAGTGGCGGGACGAGCTACGCAGAAGTTTACCGAAGATCAGGAGCCTATACCTCACAATCAAGAGGCGATCACAAAGAAATCAAGTTGATTTATACTGGCTCGTAAAAACGATATTGGATAACATAATCTTGTGGTGAAATTTAATTTTTCACATTTCAATGTTGTTATTGAATATTGAATGACCTAAGAATCATTATTCTTTAAGCACATCAGTCGTTATCGTTAAGTGGTTAGTGGCGTGTTTTCTTCCGTGGAATTCTCTCCGAAGGTAACTAAATATTTGGCAGCTATTCATTTATTTGCTGGTGATAACCCATGTGGTACAGATGATTAAATTCCGTCAGGAGATTTTAGATTACACAGTCTTATCTTGTTTTGATATATTTCAAAAAGAATACCCACGTGGTCGTCTACCCTTATCAGAAATGCGCTGAATTTCAAGACGGTTGTTTCTAAAGAGTCTTCATTAGGAAATACAGTGGAAAAACTTTGCTTGAGTAAGAACTTGTTACAGTCATGGCTCTAACAGGTGAAGCCAAAAATTTAATTTGTCTCCGGCACACAAAAGCATCAGCAAACCTGTTGCTCATATTTTCCGTACATGATAAAATCTGTTTATAATAGTGATAAAAACGCATATGACATGTAGTTACGAGTCTTTACTGAGATAGCACTATGTAGTTTGAATATTTATGCTCTCATTATTTTTGACTCCGAACGTTAGTCTCTTAATCTGCATGCTCGTAAGTCCAGATGAAAGGTAGGGAGACAAACATGACATTACTTTGGATTTCTTTGGTAACTGGATCTGTGACTATACATCTGTAGTTAAGTTGGATAATTTCCCACTGGTTCATCTCGTTTTTCTTATGGTTTGGATTTCATCAGAAGCACAAATAATACAAAACTATAAGCATAGGTCCTTGTATAGAATTGTACAGTATTTGCATATGTCTATAATTGTCTTCTAATTTGCTCTAATTTCAAATGACGCATCTTTATTTTAGAAATATTTAAAAATCTGGGATCACTCTGTAGAACGGATTTCCGAGAAATGATCGCAGCTGATATAAATATTTTGCAATCAAAGTTTACCACCCTCTTCAAAACCTCTAGAAATCGAGTGCATTTAGCATTTTTGCAACAGTTTAGCAATGCCGTAAGTTTCCTTAACTTTCAACATTTCTTTCATTTTTGAGTCAAAGTAAATTTTACAAGCAGATGTTCTTTATATGCTTCAAAATCTTACCTGTATTATTTTCGGTCAAAGTGATTATTCTAAAAAAGGATATTGAACTGTAAAATGTTTGAGTAAACCCTAGCAAAACAACTCGATTTTGCATAGTCGTTCTGATTTTCAATTACATTTAATTACACTGGTGGAGAAGTAGATTCTTAAAGCCCTGGTATTGCGCTAAAATCAAAGGAATAATAGTTAACCTCAAGGCAATTACTATCACTTTTTAAGTATCTCTGCTGATGTCTTACGACAAAATCAAGTTAAAGGAGGGGATGTGGCAGCAGTTTATACTCTTCTTTTAGATGATCAGCTGCTTTATTCCCACTGTTCATGAAGTGTTAGAATGAATCGATTAAAGAGGTAACATTTCTCAATTTGCTCCAAATAAGTTATCCGCCTGTTATAAGGTACTTTTTCCTTTTATGACTACCAATGCTGTCACATTTGTTTCACATATCAAGTAGACATAGAAGTAGCAAGTGTCCTCAGGTATCCATATGCTTATTGCATACCTGCCAAACTCTTTTACAGTTTCATTCTTCATCACGTTTTTCACTGCTAATACGTTTTCCTATGCAGTTGCTTAATTGTTTTGAAACTCTTATATCCTTACCAACAATCACATTAAACTAAGCACTGTTTATACTGTCTTAAAGCCAAATCACCAACTGCACACCGGTGATTTGAACATTCAACCGCTGTGCTTGCTCGGATAAAGAGTTCTGTAAACCTGAAATCCAGCATTTCGTGATATAGATGTTTCTTACAAGCTTAGTGAAGCTTGTGTGTGTTGTGTGTCTTACACTTACAACGGTCTCAATTATGCATGACTCATCTTTACAAGATCTGACTATTTATCATTTATTTGTCTATTAATGAAAATATATTTTAGATGTGATAGTAAAGTAATGGTGGCTGACTAATCCCTGGTAACAATTTTCACGCAGTTATGTGATGAATGTTCACTCTACTCTTGCTTTTGTTTTTTTGTTTTTGTTAAGTATGATTTTGACTGAAATTACACTTGTCTTTTTGATTAGGTGAAGATATGTTTGAGTGCATTATCGATTAATTGTTTGTTTGGTGATGACCTGTTGGTAGTTTATTATTTTCAGTCGGTAGAGTATGAAGAGTTAAACAGTTCCGTATTACGTAATATATTGGGCTGACCTGAAAATAGGATCAGTCTGTCTGATTGACATGGATGATTACGTAATGACTAAGTAACCTGAATTTATTGAACTGGTAGCTTATCGTAAATTCATGCATTTTTTTGTAGTGTGTAGCGAAATGTTAGGCATCGGTGGTTTTATTCGTGACTTGACCTTTGTCCTATAATGCACACATTTATTTTAGAAGTAATGGTAATATTGACTGACTGACTGACTCACCCCTGATTACAGCTCAAAAGGAAAAAAATGACTATGTGATGAGTATTCACTTTGTCTTTGTTTTTGACATGATTTTGCATGACATGAAGTGAAGATATGGCCGAGTATAATTCTGACTGAGCGAAGATATATTAGGAGTCTATTAGGATTAGTGTGTAGGACAAAAAGTTTTGATCCGAAATACTACTGATAATGTCATATGAGTAGTTAAAGGGCGATTGCTTCAGAAAACGATGCTTTCTGCCTACATCGAATTGATCTCAACACAGGGTGTTGGTTTCGCTCGCTTTGGTCCAGTTCATTCATTCAGAGAGCTGAATCACTTCAAAGTGTCCTAATTTTGGCTAGCTATTCGAGTTAATTGAGAATAAAAAGAATGTAGATGTTTCTTACATTCTTGAGGTGTACTTGTGGCTTACAGATTTGAACTCTTTATTTTCGGCCACTGGAACTCTCCACAACTCTTACGGAGGCTTTTGCAGCGAAGTGGTATAATTAATGTCCCCAATAAACATTACTCAAAGCAGGCTGCGTCTAAATGCAATGAGTCTTCCTTAGATCTTAGGCGCAGATACAAGGCCTAGTTATGTTTATTTACTTAACCCAGCCTAATTAAGCTTCTACACTTACTGAATACTAGAGTAAAGCCGTACATACAAGTGACGCACTTCTCATTTCAATCGTACTTTTGCATATATATATACTTATTTTGGCTGGTAAAACGTTTATTTAATCGAGGAAGTTATTGTTAGAGTCCCTGTGTATTTTTACTCTGTAGGAATTTTGTATTTTCATTATGAATGTACTCTATTGTTTCAGGTTAATTCATTCCAACATGAATACCAGTCAGTATTAAAAGAATTCGAATTGAGAACAATAAACTTCTTGGTGGTCAGAAATGTGCACAAATGTTCATGTAATACGAAAATTGGTTTATGGATTGAAGAAATAAATGATTTTATCTATAAATTTGAAGTAAGAGTATCCCAGTTTTTACTATTTTGTACGTTATTAACATTTTACACTCAATCCAAGTTCCACCTGAGCAATGGCCTGGCTCGAGATGTCACTCACTGGTTTCCTTAGTATGTGTCTGACGCATCTCCATTCCCTTCGACATATTTATTGACCAATATGTACTTGGTTGGTTCGTTCCTAGAGTTCGCTGTTGCTGATCCTTACCAGACACCTGAATTTAAGTATAAAGGGAAGGCAGCTGTCGATAAAAGTTTGCGTCAGGCTGTTGGACGTCTATTCTCTGGACCACATAAAAGTATTGACTTGACACTGATGTTGAAAATCTGAATCTTGCTCTTAATGCTGAGTGCAGCAAATTTCTAAATTGGTTTTAGAGTAGTTGCTTTGGAATCTTCATTCGGGCTGTTACCTGTAGTTGAGTCACTTCCTTCTAATTTTTCCGTTGATGGTGGGTGGTACTTGTTGTTGTTGTTGCTATTGCTGACCAGGTGTCTTCATCATCCCGGCCTTCTCTTTATTTACTTGAATTCCTGTCTCCGCTGACTGTATCTCCTGAAAATCTGCCGGTTTTCGCCTCCAGATCTTTGAGTTTGTGTGACATTAGACGTATATCATCCTTGAAGTCCAGAACTCTTCTTATCGGTCTAATGTATTCCCATCTTCTGGCCGCCCACAGTCTGTTGCATGATCAAGTCCACCACAATCAGGAACATCACCAGTGATAATAGGCAGTCTTTTCTTACTTCAGTCTTCGCTCAAAATGCTTCTCTTAGTTTTCTGCTGTGAATCAGTGACATCACCATATAGCTGTTGAACAGGGTTGATAAAAATTTGTGGCACTACACTCCATGGTGTTAAAGTAGTTTCCAAATTACCTAGTGTAAACGCCGTCGAAGGATTTTTCAAAATCGATGAAGTTGAGGTAGAGATTTGCTTACCATTCTATACTCCGTTCGATGATGATGCGTAGAGTTCCAATTTGATTGCAACATGATTTTTTTCCTCAATTCAAATTGTTCTGGTAGAGGGTGAGTTTCGCATTCAAAGCACCTCTGTATCTCATCAAGAATGACACGACCTAATATTTTGCTTGGTGTGGATAGGACTGAAATTTAGTGCTAGTTCCCGCAAAGACTCAAGTCTCCCTTCTTTAGAAGTTTGACGTGGTAGCCTTCCTTGCAGTTAGTAGGTACCTTTCCTTCCTTGCAAACTTTCTGAATCGGTGGTATCAGGGCATCCACTGGGGATCTCTGGACCCCTTTTTAGTGCTCTCGTGGGAATTCTGTCTGAACTTACCATCCTCCCGGTTTCTGGTAACTTCATGGTATACAAGACTTCTACTTTTTACGGAAGGTTATTGTTCACAGACTGTTTTTTGGCTGTTGGTGGCACTTCTGGGAGAGTTGTAGGTGGCCATCTGTTCGAGAGTCGTTTGAAGTAGTCCTCCTTACTTTTTCTTTGCTCCTCTTCTTTGGTTGTTTGGTTCCCTTCAATAACCTTCATTGCTTTCAGTGTGCTGATTTCTTCCCCGATAACTACCTGTTTATCTGATATAGTGATGTGAAGTCCCTCTTACCTGTAGCCTGTTCCGCTCCAGTTGCCAGTGTCTTGCTGAGTTAATTGTCTTTTATTTTTCTAACACTCTTTATTCAGTGAGATGTACGTTGAACTGAGCTTCTTCTTCTATTGTCCTTCTTTGCATTGGTTCATCTGTCCCACCATCCTCCATCTTCTATTAGCTTCCAAGTGTCCATTTAGAGCCTTTCCTTGTCTTTCCTCTTCTTCCTTACTAAGACAGCTGCACAGGTTTCCTCCAATACCGCTTTCAAGGAGTTCCAGTATTCTTGCATACTGGTCTCCTGAGTGATGCTACCAAATATTATAAGGTTTTCTGGTAATTACTACCGGTCTATTAAGCAGCAGTTTTTAAGTTTGTCAAGTTTAAGGAGGGGGTGGGTGGGAAGGTTACTCGATGTTCGAGAAAGATATTAGGCGTTCTGTATCACGAACCAAGAGAAGTAGTTAACCACTGGGTATTGGATTCCAACTTGCTGTAGAGAATGAACACTGATAAAGAGTTCTTAAGTAGGATGAAATGACGGCGAAGTGCTTTCTAGTTTTCCAAAGTTCTAGGCTGATTTGGATATGTCATAGAATCTAGAGTTACTTTAATCAATCTCTCATAAATCCAGTATCTGAGGATTAGAGTCTGTGCAGTTCTAGAGAGCGAGGATATGTAGGCGAACAAATAAACAGGATTACGACCTCATTTATTTATTTATTTCCAACTGGTAGTCCACAAATCCTAACACTATTGGAACTGGTTGCTGGGCTCCTTATCGATATGTCAGTTGATTCCCTACACTGATGAAGCTTTCATGATGCACTAGAAAGGGGGGGTCAAGTGATTTAATACATGTGCTCTTCATCTTTGCTTATGAGATTTAATATTGCGGGGGGGGGCGTATATCTTCCACCATTTATGGGAAGCGGCACATATACAGATGAAAACAGCCTTCAAACGTATTAACTGTCTATTCATGTGTTAGTTGTTTCCTTACACATATTATCCACCTCTCTGATTATGATTTATTTCATGTGTTTACAGTATTTAAACCTATTCATTCATTTGTTTTATTTAATTTTGACATCTACAGGACTTAAAAAGGTCTCTTGCTATTCTACAAAGTATTTTTGAATCGTCATGCAGGCTTGTATATCATGTGTACCATGATAATCATTTTTCATTTGAATACGCTCAAGATGAAAAACTGACGTATCTATTAGACAGATTGAAAAGCCTGACAGGATGGTTAAATCTGGCAGCTACGGGGAATGATGTAAGTTACTTGGCTTACTGTATATTATTATTGTATCGCTAATCTAAAATATCATTTCACTTAGTAATATACTTTTAGTTTACTATTTTGTCGATCTATTTAACACCTTAGACTTATTATTTTATTTCTTTACACTCTCAGTGGAACATAGGGCTTCAAGCTAGAAGCTTTAATTTTCAGTAGCAGTGGTGTTTGTTTTTACGGAATGGGGTTGCTAGCCTCATGCCCAACCCTTTCTCTTCACTGGCTTAGCAAGGTGAGGAAGTGCGTCGGCCGAGGATCGAACCCCGAACCTCTTGCATAGCTGGCGAGCATTCTATCGACTTCAGCAGTATGCACCCACCGCCATTCGAACCTATGACCTTCTGGTTATAAGGCGAGCTAGCTCGCAAACCATTAAGCCAATGGGACCCTTAGGCTTATAAGCAGTCATTCAAATTCTTGTGATCTTTGTCCAGTTTCTCTCGCCACTTGAGAACTCAGTGTATCTGAAACGCTTAGGATAATGCTTACTCTGTCCTTCTGGGATTATTTTTTCTAAAACAACATTACTCAACTCCTTGCGTTCCATTAACTATAAAACCTTTGACTGTGGCACAACGTAACCTCTTGTCTCATCTGGAAATTTATAAATCTGTATTAATTTGCGGGTGTTGCTTGGCAGGCACTCAGGTGATTTCAAATTTGATGACTGTTCGACCTCTGGTTGAGTTGTTAGCGCATACTGACGAAGAGTTCCAAACAAAGACGAAACAGTTAGATGCCCAAAACTGTCTGGTTCTTAGTGGTTCACCAAATGAAGTCAGTTCGTGATCTAACTTGGATCCTGTATTAGATTCTTTCTTCCTTATGAATCACTGAACTGATGAGAAGGACCTTTATTATGTCACGTAGGATTTTCAAGGCTGTAAGCAGAGTTAACACTGTGGCCGAATGTTTCTCTGTGTAAGCTTTAACTTCTTCAGCAGAATTATTTAGATTTTAATAAATTCTGAGATTTGTAGTGAAATGGTCAAAGTGGATACTTACGGTGTATAAACGCTACTGTGATAAGCTGAAATCTAGTAGCTGAAGCAATAAACTGCACTTCCATTAACGTTTATTCTCAAAAATCCTGGGCATTGTTGTTAAAATAGGTTTCTAATCGGAGGGGTATTTTGATAGGGTATTTGTGGCTTTGTTTTGTTAGTCCAGAAAATCAATAAGCCTACACAAGATAAAAATACTAACTCTTGACCCAATCACTGAACACACAGAACTTTATGTGTATTACATCACAAACTGACAAAAATTAAATATCATGAGCCACTGGATCCTATCTAAAGCATTTACATTAAAACTTTCTCCCCCACAAGGCATCACTGTCTTCGACTAAATCTCTGGTGACTTCTTTTAGATGTGCACTGTAAAAGAGCTTTAGATTAGAATGAAACAATTATTCACTGTTAATTTTTTCCGGTTTGTTCATGAGTTGACATCAGTTAGAGGGAGAACCATTGTAAAACCAACACCAGAGTACTGGATAGCTGTTTCGTCCTGGTTTGGGTCGCAGTGGTTGAATGGTCTACGAGTTCACCTTCTAACTGGAAAGTCCTGGGTTCGAACTTCTGTGAATGAGTACTGATGTAGAGTCCCAAACCGGAACTATACAGCTGTCCAGTACTCCAATGCTGGTTTTCCAAAGGTTCTCTAACTGATATCAATTCGTGTTCAAACCTGTAGCCAGTTAAATCAGCTTCTATTAGACTCATTGAGAAAGGATATTCACTGAAACCCATGAAGTGTCATATACGCCTAAAACAAATATGATTTTATACAGAATAAATTAAATCTTGTCAGCTCTAAAATTTTTGTTTTTTTAAAATTATTTATTTATTTGGCAGACCATTGTTTATCAGAAGTATTGACCTATAATATTTATTATCGGTAGAAGTATGGCTACAAAGTTCACTAGCATATATATATATATATATATATATATATAATATGCATATTGATGTGAATTTGTAGACTCATACGTACACACAGGCATTTAGGTTACATAACAGACTTAACTAGCAAAATAGCACGATGATGAATATCTGTCAATAGGTCTCTTTTGTGCCAAATAACTAAAATGACAGTAATTTGAATTCAGGGTGCTCATTTGATCTTATTTCACACTCATCACCTGGATGTCCCTGGATTCCCTGGCGAATGATGGTTTTCCAACTGAGGCTGGAACCTAGTACCCTTCGTTTCAAATGCCATGGAGTCATCCACTAGACCACTCAGGCCCTGAGAGTCACCTCTTATGCAACATGTGTCAGTTATTATTATTCATTTTCACTTCAGTTCTGATTTTCCCTTTGATTGAATAAACCGAAGTGTTCGGCCTCAGGCACGTACAGGTGGCAAGTCCGAAGTAAGACGAAATTTTGATTGAGAAAGAAAGACCAGATTTGCAGTATAAAATGATATCATTCTATTTCACAGGTTCTCATCAGCTGCAAACTACCTGAAATTACAATGGTTATAAATAATAACATTTCATACTTCATTGTTTGAAAGGTAATAGAGAAAACATTATAAGGTGAACGCATCTGGAATATAAGTATTATAATCTAAGTCAATCACCATCAATTTATATATTATCAAACTATGAAAGAAGAAAAAAAAAGGGGGGTGAGAGAAGACAGAAAACAGAAAAATCCAATAAACAGTGTCAGCATAGCAACTCAAGACGAAATTATCGTGCTGGATACCACTGCTAGTCACCGTTTATCACATTATTTCAAAGAAAAGGATTATTTTAAGGTTGATTTCCTCAGGTGTCTACAGGTTAAGCATTTCAGACAGCTGTATTCATCTGACTAGACCTGTCCTGTGTGTAGTGAAATCACGGAGTAAAAGACTGTCAGACTTAGAATGAATTGAATTCAGCTATCAGAATTATGAAGTCGTCTGAGACAGAATAATAGGGGGTATTTTTTTTACTCATAGTTAAACCACACATGTATCCTAGATTCGAATGCTAGCCAATATCAGTCGAGTAACTTCAAAAACTAACTCATGAAAATTAACCTGGTTTTCATCGCCAGTGACTGGCTACAGGATGAAGTTGGCTGTAGTTCCACTGAGAAGTTGTCATCGGTGGAGTCCATCCGATCGATAGTCAGGACAAATGCTCACCGATGACATTGACTAGTGCTGTTCACGTTAAATATGTCACGAATTGGTAGAAGTTAGAATTCATAGGCTGGCAATTGAATCGGGTCCCAGTGACTGGATGGCCTACGAGCTCACTTTGTGACTGGAAGATCTTGGGTTCGTACTTCCGATGAATCCCAAACGAAGCAAGTGGCTGTCCAGTACTCCACTGCTGGTTTTCCGAAGTTTCTCTAACTGATATCGATCCGTGTTCAAACTTGAAACAAATCAAATTCCTACAAACAAACTCTTGAAAATTTCAGATTACTCATTGTTTAAATCTTTGCTAACTATTTCTACACGATATTAATTCCACAGTGTTCAATCTCTCAAGGATAATCAATAATCAAATGTCATAATCTGTGATTATTTGCTATTCTTTTTATTTCAGAATTCTAAGCCGACTGGAGTCAATGCACACGATGTTAAATATCGTTTTAAGTATTCGACTTTGATAGAAGCCTTAGATTTACATCGTGATTGTTACCAGTCCTCCTACTGTCCAATACCAATTAATGAAAAGTGTCTGTCGATACAGAATTTACAATGTGTTCATTACACTGATAGGTAAGTATAATACACGGTTGAATATGGTTTTATTTATTTTCTCATGAATATAGTCTACGTTACGTGCGTCGGTGGCACAGTGGTTAGGACTCTCGCCGACCATGCACATGGTCCGAGGTTCGATCCCCTTTCGACGCACACCTGCTATGGAATGGTCGGCCTGCAAAATTCGGGCTACCGATATCCACGCTGAAAATTCCATACATGTACCAAAAATACAGTGTGGAATCAAGCTGTAAATCAAAACAAAAAAATGAATACTGGCCTGATTATATATTCTTGTTTTAACCAACTAGTCCCAAAATTAATTTTAAATTTCCTATCAGGAACTCTAAAGTAGCAGACCAGTGAAATATAATGCAAATCCGACTGTAGCAGTTTCGAATCCTACTCAGCCATTCCGGCCCTACCACCTACATCATCTTTGCTAACTGGCTAGCTAGTATGCATTGTCAAGCGTCGCACATTGTGGCCTGATAGGCAGGGATTCTTCTGGAAGTAATCTGGTTCTCAGTGGTTATAATTCTGTCGAAGGTACATATTCACTCAGACTGTTTTCTATTGCTAGTGTAATAAGGAATATTCTTTTCTTAGCGTTTTTTTCAATGCTATACAGTTATACAGTGCTGTGAAATGCCATGGCGATGCCTACATATTATTATGAAATTATTGTTCCCTTGGGTTCCAAGTGGAACATAAGGCTTCAGCAGCATATCTCCACCTTATCCCATTCTCTGTGATTGCCTTTTGCTGACCCTGTGATTGTTCATAATGTCTCACCCCCTCTTTAGACGATCTCCTCTATGTTAGCCTCGGAATAAATCCAAATTATTCGTTGACCACTCGGTGATTTGCCTATCGTGGAATGTCGTTCAACGGTCTCCTCATCGTGTGTCTGATTCATCTGCACCTTCTTCTGCATATTTGTCGAGCTATGAGTTCTTGGTTGGTTCGTTTTCAGAATTTCTTGTTGCTAATTCTTTCCAGTCAGCCATTTGGTCTTCATTTTGGAGTTAGCAAAGGTTGATATTGACAGAAGTCTTCAGCGGCCTGTTGGAAATACTTTTGTGACACACTGACCGTGTTTCTGATCCATATAATAGAACTGACTGACTGACTTAACATTGGTATTGAAAATCTAAACTTTTCGTTTATGCTGCGGAGGAGTACAGAAGATTTCTATAAAGATTTCAAAGCGATGAAGTCTGTCTTATGCTTCTCATCCTGGCTGGTTTTCACATTCTCATCTGTGCTGTCTCGTGTAGTTGAAACGATCCCGTCTGGTCAGATAAGCGAAGCATATGACCTGATTCAAATGCCTCCCATTGATAGTTACTGAAGCCCATTGTCACTAGCGTTGTTTGTTGCTTTTCTCCATCACATCCAGATATCCCTGCTTAGCTGAAGTCCTATCTTCGCAGCCTGTTCTTCCTCCATCTAGTCGATTTCCGCCTGGTATAATTATTAGGTATAATTAGGATAGTGATTGTCACCATAAAATTACAAATATAGGAGAATAATTGAGTCAGTGTTGAATGCCAGTGACACATTAAGTCGTAATTTTCACGTTTAACACTATCGTTATCACATAGGACGTAGGTGGGCTGGCCAAATATGGCATGGTTGAGTTTCTTTATTTGGTTGTGCGAACGAGCAAACAATCTTTTCTAATGACTTCTAGTCCTACCTGATGAGATACAAGGTGGAAGTTGGGTGCTGAGAGTCGGAAAATATAGATTTGGACCATTTCTCACAAAAGTTTAGGTGTCTGTTGACTATGATAGTTACAAGCTGACTCACTTGTGGTACATCACTTGCCCTACCGGCAACCTTTAATGCCCTTTTTTGCAATATGATACTGTCCTTTTTCAGTAGCCCAGGAAAGACTGAAGGGGAGCAGTAATAAAGAACAACAGGGAATATGCAAGAGTTAAAAAAGTATAAAAAGCAATGGTTGAATAATTCCAGATTGTCTTAACTTCTTAATGTAGATGGTGGTTAGACGGAGCATTTTCTTGATAATCGACAAAGTATAGAATGACCAAACAAGATAGGTGTGAGGATAGAAGTATTCCAAGGTATTTTATGCTTGATCTACCTTCTATATCAGTGCTGACAAAGCTACAGGAGTCATATAAACTAATGAGTTCATTAAGATCACGTTTATTCCTGAACTCGAAATTGACTAGCTGACATTTATTGGAGGGATTTAACGTAAGAGCACTAAGCTTAGACCACTAGCTAATGTTGGACACAAAGCTATTCAGTCAGTTTGGAACAGCTAGCTCAGGAAGGGATTGGCAACGAGGCAGCATGCCAGGCCGTCAGCAAAGTAGATTTCTTCTGAATGAGGCAAGTCAGTCATGTAAAAAGAAAGAAAAAAGAGGAGGAGTAGGAGGAGGAGGAGATAGAACAGCACTTTGAGAGACATAGGCTTCAGTAAGTAAGGAAGAGGAAGATTTAACTTTCTATACAGTATCTTCAGTATGAAGCTAGCGGAAGTCAGCTAGCGATGACAGTGTACAACCTGTTGGAAATTCTTTTAGTGACACATGTTCCAAATCTCTCAGCCATATAAAAGCACTGGATGATTTAACACTAGCATTGGAAAAATCCGAACCTTGGTCTTCATGCTTATTGAATACATTATCCACATGTATAATGAATTATACTGATGAAATGAAATTATGCAAAAATGACTGTATTTTGCTGATTACCTTCTGTCATCTGTTTATCTCTTGTGTATAACGATTCATTGTCTTTCACTGATATTTAATTCAATAAGATTACACCTTCTACTTGTCTTTGTTTTTATTTCTTAGACATCAGATATTCAATCTCCGCATTGTTATGCTGTAACAAGGCGATGCAATCGAATAATTTACAATCTATTACAACAGTTATTATCCTATCCAACTGCATTGAGCGTTTTCAATTCAAACAAGGAGTGTCTCAGTGAAATGTACAATAATCTAAGCATTATGATAAAATATGCAAATGACAAGAGTATTATCGGTAAGTAGAATATTTATAAGAGTTTCAGTCAATCAAAAATTTAAATACTGTTTGTTCAGAAGACAAACAACCTGATGTTTTAGAACTGCGGATGGATGTAATCAGTAGAAAGCTCTGTACCTAAATTTCATGCTTGCTGGTAAAGTACATCTAAAAATTTCAAAAGAATTGATGTTATCTCGGAGATTTAAACCTGCATAAATCCATACTGTTGTTGAAGACGTTACGACCAAGCTAGTAGGTTTCAAGGGTGATCTTCTATAGGACTGTAATAGATGCACTGTATACTCCAGTATTAGATTTGAACCATCTAACACCGATTCAAAGTGCACCATGATGATGGGTTACCTAGTTTGGTGATCATTTTGCATCACTGACTGATAGAATCCAATCACAACTGATACAAAGGACCAGAATCATGCCATCGGTTGCTTCCTACTGATCACTCAGTGTTCTCAAAATTACCATTCCAGATGGGATTCATAAATGAAATTTTGGAAACATTTATTTCCCGATACGAATTTAAAACAGGCAACAAAGGTTAATAAATTGTCGAAACCTTCAGAGTATTTACTTCCAGAATATTTCCTCTTTATACACGGTTTTCATATAAAGTAATAATCTAAAGGGTATCGGACGACGAAGCGTTCCTGCATCTGAAGGAAAAACCTATTTACTAAGTATTTTCTTCATTATTTCGTCAAATAATTGCATAATATTTAGTTGGAGGTTAATTAAATAAGCGGGTGACTTCATTTAGTTTTTTTTGTTCTTTCACATTCCCAGTGGAACATGGGGCTTCAAGCTACAGACTTCAAGTTTACGTAGCAGTGGTGATTATTTTTACAGAATGGGGTTGCTAGCCTCATGCCCAACCTTTTCTCTTTATCAGTCTTGTTACTGGCTCAGTGAGGTTAAGAAGTGCGTCTGTGGCCGGGGATCGAACTTCGGGCCATACGCATGGTCGGAGAGCATCACAACCGCTGTGCCAGCGACGCACTCCTTCATGTTGTGGTCATCTGGTATAATTGCACGAATGAAACAATAGGAGATACAGAAGAAATACAGTTTCACGGTTGGAAATTCTGGTAGCTCAGTGAGTAAAGCAGGCCGCTTTGAGTCTGCTTTTAACTCACAATCCAATTATCGCCACGCTATCCAGTTAAGCCTTGGTCAGAGTTCATATAAATTTATTAAATATTTACTTCAAATGTTATTCAGGCGGCTTCTGTCTTTTTTCTTTTTGCCACTAAAGACAAATTTTTATCAACTACTGGAAAAGTGGAAGAGTATTCCAAATCACTTTATTCAGTCTTCACTCGAATGGATTCCTTGTTTCGAATAAGTCTTACCAAATTTCCTTTAAATAATTACTAATCAAGATTCTCTGATAAATTTTATCACTTATCTGCTTCCTCATTTATATCTGTCAAATCCCTTCAAACAAACACTTGACAACTAATCTGATTCTCACTAAGGACTGGCTCTACACAGGAAGTTCTCGTGAGAAGTCGTAACTAGCGGGCTCCATTAAGTCAGGTAAATGAACAGTTACTTGCTTGTGATATTGGCCGGCGGTTGCGCTATATATATATATATATATTGTGCACTGGAAAGTGGGATTCAAGAGTCATCTGATTGAGTCCCAGTGGTTGAATAGTCTACGAGCTTGCCTTGTAACCTGAAGGTTCTGGGTTCGAATCCTGGTGGATGAGTACTATTGCATAGTCTCAGTACTCCCTACAGGTTTTCTAATGTTTGTGTGACTGATGTCAGCTTGTGATCACGCCTGTAAACAATGAAACCCATGCAAACCAGAACTGGATATTACATCGGTGTAAACTATGTGATTTAGTGAATTTTCCGTTGCCTGGTTTTAGTAGATGCGAAATGCTTGCTTCCTGATGGAGTTTCGTCTCTTAGTATTGAGATTATGATAATATCACCCATTGGGAATGCAGAAATATTTCTGAAGAGTTCTGAGTCATTTGAAACACGCATTTCGGATTCCACCGCCAACCGCCACTTGCTAAATAATGGAATATCTCTGCCTTGTCGGCTGATCTTTCTCTCTTTTATTATGTCTTAGGCTCGCATATTGATTTGTTTAAGTATTGCTCAATTTTATACATTATGAAGCTAGGTTAGATGGTAGGAAAGAAGACCTACCTGACCTGGGTCTCGTGTTTGTTGGGGGTTCACCAGTCAGCAAGGAGTATCTACAATCATGTCCCTTCTGAGATTTGAACCTGGATCACCCTGTGCCACAGTTAGAGACGTTCCCACTGAACCATTTGGGTTCGCGACTGATCTCCTGTAGGGCTCTATTAGATAATTTGGTGGAACACCAGATAGTAAATAACGTCTTGCACGTGACATTTTAAAATTTTTGGATTAGTCAATAAATTTGAGTTTTATGCACTGAAATATGCGCCATACAGTAATCATTATCTTTATCTAAAATGATTATATCGTCTGTACACTCCCAACTGTCGACACCTCTTCCTTGTAAAGTGTAAACCTGCAAATGGATGATTAGGAGATCCAGATATTGGGACACTACTCGGACACAGAGGTAGCCATCTTTATGCGTTTTCTGTCACCCATGAAGTCTCAGTATTACCGAAAAATGTTCTGTTGAAGTCTATAAGTTTAACAGCCTGCACATAGGTGTTTCAACAGTGCCATGTTCGCCTACCATATAAGTTGTCCGGATTAGATTCTGATAGACTCTCTGAACATTGTCTAGTTTATTGTCTCTATGTATTAAGCTCAGAAAAGAGAAAGGGTTGAGCGGGAAGCTATCAGCCAATGAAAACAGCACCGTCTCAATTGAAGCTTCAGAGTTTGAAGCGCAGTGACTCAGTCAGAACCCAGGGAAATGAAACATTATAGAAGACTTGATTTTCAGCTGACAGACCACCGATCAACAGTTCAAACATCACTTTGTTGCTGTAATTTTTAAGCGTAATAAGTCGATAAAGACTAAGAGAAACAGATGAACTGATTGAGTAGGGCTAAATTGTAAAGGAAGTAAATAAACTGTATTTTAATGAGAATGTGATAGGATTAAAGGATTATGATAACAGAGGGTTTGAGAATATACGTAAAGGGTGGTGGTGTTTACGTCATCATTTAGTTAGGTCTCAGTTGTCCAGGAGACTTCTTTTGAATGCATTATATTATTGTTATTGTTCATTTGGTTTCCGAGTGGAACATTGGCCTTCAACAGCACATCTTCACGTTGCCCTCCTCAGCTAGCCACATGATAACCAATGACCTCTTACCTTCTTTTTCACACAGTCTCCTCTATGTCACCTCGCACTCACGCTCAACTCATTGTTTCCCATTCGGCCTGCACTCTAGGAATGGTCTAGCAGGTGATGTCATTTAACTGACTTCTCAGTGTGTGCCCAATCCTTCTTCATTTTCTTCAGCCATATTTATTGAGCGGTAGGTTTTTGTAAGTTAATTCCCAGCGTTTCTTGTTGATAATTCTTTCCGATCGGTCATGTGATCTTCAGTATGGAGCTAGCAAAAGAGGCAGCTGTTGATAAAAGTCTGCAACCTGTTAGGAATGCCGTTCGTGATGCACCGTTGAAGTTTCCTACCGGTATAGAAGAATTGACTGACTTAAAATTGGTGTTGAAATTACGGATTATGTCCTTTATGGTGAGTGCAGAATATCTCCAAACTGGTTTCACTGTGATGAAGGTCTGTCTTGTCTTTCCGATTCTTGCTTCGATATCCTCATCCGTGCTGTTATCTGTAGATGGAAGGATGCCTCCTGGCCAGATAAGTCAAGGAAGTGATCACTTTTTGTAAATTTCTTCCATTGACAGTGATTGGTGATTCTTTCTGTTGTTCTTGTTTTGTTAGTTGCTTGGTTGACTGTGCTCATTACCCTTGTCTTCTACATGTTCTAAGAGATTCGATGAATCTCACATTGAATGCCTTGGTTTTCATTTGCCATTAAATGACCATTATCATTTAAGTGTGACAAATAAAACGGATTGAATTGTTTCCCCTTTTTTTAAACTTAACTGTAACTGGGCTGAAGGCATTCCAGAAAGGGTGTAACAGGATAAATATTTACTATTATGACTACTATTCTTTCTTTTTCCTCTGTCCATATAAGAGAGAAGTGTATAATAAATTCTCAAATACAATTATTGTATGATGTATTATAACGATAAATAATTCATGGACTTATTTCCCTGTTGACTAAGATGCCCCTTCACTTATATATATGCTCCTTTGACTTTTCTTGTCCCCAATTTAACGTTATTGTAACTACTGTTTTTTCATTAACTGGGTGGACTGTGTAAATGCATGCATACTGGGTGATTGTAAATTCTTCATATTTACACTATTCAGATTAATTAAGCTTTGCATTTCCATCAGTATTATACCTAAAATATTAACAGTCAAGCAGTCAGATGGCTTGGTTGCCGGTGGCTACCAATGGAATCCAAGACGTGAATTTCTGGGCCTTGTCAGGCGAATGTACAAACATTCCAAGTGAATTGTAGTTTTCCTGCTGATATCCGTTGCATAAGACATATTCAAGTATTGGTTTGTAGAGATTTGGTTGATTGGTTACAGGATTTCATCATGAGCTGACATCAATTAGAGAACCATTAGAAAACCTGGGAGTACTGAACAGCTGTTTCGTCCTAGTTTGTGACTCTTCACCAGTACGCACCCACCGGGATTCGAACCCAGGTACTTCTGGTTACAAGGCGAGCTGGCTCGTATACCATTAAGCCACTGAGAACCAATCCAATAGCCCACAAATTCTAACTTCTGACAATTCACGACATAGCGCGATCCAAGCCAACGTCTTCGGCGTGTATTTGTCCTCACACCCGACACGCTGCAGCCCCCTACTGGCCACGACTTCTCACTAGAACCCCAGGTAACTAACTACCTGAATAAGGCCAGTCGCTAGTGAGCATCTCATTGATATTCAAGTGTTGGGTTGTAGGGATTTGATTGTTTACAGGATTTCATCATGAGCTGACATTGGATTAGGTCCCAGTGGCTTAATGGTATACGAGCTAGCTCGCCTTGTAACCAGAAGGTCCTGGGTTCGAATCCCGGTGGGTGCGTACTGGTGAAAAGTTCCAAACTAGGAGGGACGAAACAGCTGCCCAGTACTCCATGTAGGTTTCCCAATGGTTCTCTAACAAATGTCTGCTCATGATATAAGTAAATATTACTAGTGAATAACACACTACCCACCTGAATTTATTCCGAAGTGTATGAAGAATCCTAAAAAGCCTGAATTAATAATGAAAATAACAAAAATAATCTGAACATCATAGCTTTTTTAGTACTGTCGTATAGAGAAGGATTATAAGTGGTCCTATGTAGGATTCTTAATGTGGCTGGAATTAGAGTTGCATTGAAACCACCCAATCAACCAACTGTCTCAGAGATAAACTTTGTTGGCTTACGGACCCAAGAGATGCAATTAAGGTAAATAGCATAATTTACTAAATAAGATGTAATAGCTGTGAGGTCAGTTGCATAGGTCAGTCAAACCACTAGATCAATGTGAATTAGACTATCTGAAGATAGAAATTTAGTTGGAGGTAGAATAGTTGACTCAAGCAGATTAATTATTGCATTCACTTGCATGTTATTATTATTATTATGTAATCACAAAATAGGGTGAGTGGGACTGTGTGAAAGTAATAAAAAGTGATATAGTTATGTGGAGAGAGAGCGAGGGAGAGACGGAGAGTGATTAACCACTGAATCTTTGTTTATTGATTCAACACCGCATACGTGCAGTAGAAGTGATGCAACGCGTATATCGAAGATGTGGAAAGTTACTGTAAACGTCATCCAGTTGTTAATACTGCATCATCATCACTGTGAGATATTGAAAGTGAACTTATCTAATGTATGGAATTACATTCTGCCACACAGTGCCCAAGTTCTACACTTACATTCGATTTGTTATAGTCCCATGACTATCTCTATTTGCAGAGTTAAGGTACTTCTGGAAGCATGTGCAATTCACGTACATTAGTTTCATTCTGCAAGACACTGATAAAGAGTTTTGGGTAGCTACTCAAAATGTTTACAAGACTTCCTCCTTGTGTCACTGAACTTGGTTATCTGGTAGAGATTCTTTACATGTGTTAGGCTATCCGTCACACTTATTGTGTAATAAGTGTCAAGTGCTCAGTTTCAGTGAAAGTCATGTACTCAAGTCCGCTGAACTATTTCTCGGAGTTAAGAATGATTCAGTGTCTTCAAAGGATTGTCTTCCTGTCTAACGATTGATCTAGTCATTTGTTCACTTTGATGTTTGCATTCCAGTTGTTCTCACTCAATACTCTTGTTATTATATAATACGATAAATTTATTTTTTCTTTATACATGTTCTATAAGTGTATATTGTTTGTTTCTGTATTTTCCGTCTATTATCTCTTTCATAGCGTATAAATTTCATGCGACATAAGAATTATACGCTCTTTCCGAAAATGCATCCATTCAACTACGGTTCACCTGTAACATATAGAACCATGCTCACCATGCCGTCAGTCGGTGGTAAAAGACGATTGAATGAAGGTGTGAGTGATGAACAGAAAAATGATCAACGTGTATGCAATCATGAGAATTATAATTATTATGCAAAGTGTGGACAGATTACATCAACCCGCTATAATTACTACAGTGAATCAGTCATCAAAACTCATGGTAATTATACACGGAACTCTATTGAAGCATCAGCGGGATTATCCTGCCTTAATGAAGATGAACAGATTACCCGTACAGGTGATAATGATGAAAGTGGCGCAGATGAATTTGCCCGAATGGACGAAAATCAAGTATTTGAAGAAGATTTCCACTACAAGACGTGTGCTTATTTCAGTTGGTAAGTAAATGCCTTGGCTATATTGATGTCATCTTTGTGTTATTGGACTGTCAGACTCTCTCACTTTGTAATCTTATTACACATGTGGTGATGGGATGTAGCTCTGTCTACATCGAACTTCATAGAGATTGAATTCACGCTCAGGAGAGAAGGCTGGTTCAATTAAAACTCCACTGATGGCATAGTACTGTTATAGGTAAAATTTATGGAGTTTGCCTGGGATGAAATATTTGAGTGGATAGTTTGCTTCACTTCAATCCTACCTAATTTTACGACAGTGATATATAACTAGTATGGATTAATTTCCATTCTGAATGTGTTGCAGATGATGTGGTCGTCGTAAATGCTGTGAGCTTCACACTTATTTTAAAAGTCACAACAACCCTAATGAAAAGGTTGCTGATGGGACCTCATGAATCATGTAGATGGCTGGTTTACTTATTATTCGCTAATTTCTATTACCTTTGACCTCAGAGGCACTGGCACAGTACTCGCCAGCCCTATAAATGTTCCGTGTTCGACTCCCAGTTGTCTCACTCTTAAATGTCTCCCAGCCTATAGTTAGCCCATCAAAGCGGAAGGTTGGGCGTGTAGCTAGCAATCTCGCCCCACTAAAACAACATCATTGCTGCTGAAACTTTTAAGCCTGAGACCAGATGTCCTATATTCCAATCGGAACGCAAATGGTTATTCATCTCAGACAACTTACAATTTTACTGTTTTTAAAGCTATTAGGAAAATATTGTATGCTCCAGTTGTAGGCATGTTCATTCATGGCAGTTATTACTTCTGGTGGATGGAACAGTTAACTGAGTTGTGCTCATGCCAAACGCAGGATGTTAGGAAGAAGAAGTAAAGAAATCGATGATTTTGTGTATCTTCAAGATCTGTTGTATTACTCATACTTCGATTAGTGAACTTATTCAGAATTAAATAGAAGAAGGTAGACAGTGAAGAGGCCGACAGATTATTTCAGATCATGAAGTCAATATCGGGTTTTAACTGTGTAGGCGGTCGTTGATCGTCCAAATGTCGCAATAATTTTTTTTGTGCCTTAAGAATATGACAGGTATAATTTGGAGAAGATTTGTTGCCCAAGTAGGTGCTTTTGGTGTTAAATGTGTTCTCTGAGCTGGATGGTTTAGCTGCTAAGATTTTCTTGTCTTACTAGACAAGATCTTCAAAACATGCTTCAATTTGAAGAGAGCTTTTAAATTCCTCCACGAGTTTAGCTTGAATGTCGTGATTAGTTGCCTTTGTGTGTTTTCACATCTTCTAGTCTATTTGTATTCCTGCTGATTGTTTCCTTGAACTGAAGTTTAATTTTTTTGTGCATGAGATTTCTTCCCTATGGATTGGTAAATCTTGTCGATGTCAGTTGCTGACTCAGTTGAATACCAGGCTTCCAAAAACTCTTTAGCGTCTATGGTATTTATTCAATCTGTGATTAGTCTGAGAAATGATTTAAGAAACCGCATATGTTTAAATGAGTCGTAAGACCTTTTGGGCCACATTCAGGTGGTCGTGATACAACAGTGGAAGAGAACTATCTCTCTTACACCCCTTCGGTTTTCCACCCGTTTCGAACAACGGAGAAAAGCGATTGGCATGGAAGCTACTGGGATGACATTCACAGTACATGTTTGTAACAGAAGAGCCCAAAACGATCTCTACTCTTTGTAGAAATCTCTCTTCGATTCAAACAAAAGATCCAAACAAAAAAGAACGAACAAAAACAGGCCGCGTGTGACCGGCCTCAAGCAGTTGTCCCCTGGGCTCTGCGGTCACGCAACCAACTTCCACGGTGTGGGCAGCCGGGAAGTAACAATCGCCCTCACAATCCGAAACGCACGCGAAACCTCTCTATTACTCACTCATCTTTGTCTTCGTCTTCATCTCTATCATCTTGCCTTCCTTCCACTGATGCAACTCCTCGACTTGATAGCTCTCCACTCTGCGTCCACTAAAAACTATGGAAGCCAAAAGACCACCACCGACAGTCTCTTAAAGCAGCGCCACCAATTTCATATAGGAGCCCTTAATGTTAGGACACTTTGCCAAATAGGACAACAAGCATCACTAGCCAAGACCCTGGCATCACGAGCCATTGATGTATGCTGTGTTTCAGAAACACGCATACAAGACCCAAGTGTGGTTATTCACCTAACCCCACCTGGCCAACAGGTTGAATCTGCAAAATTCACCTTGAGGGTGTCAGGAGATGCCACAGCTAGTTCACGAGGATTAGCTGGCGTAGGGATAGCTTTGAGTACTAGGGCAGAAAAGACATTGCTTGACTGGATCCCGGTAGATAGCCGAATGTGTGCTGTTCGCCTGAACGGGTCAGTAAGAATGAGGAAGGACTGCACTACTCGCCGATGCCTTTTCGTAATCTCCGCCTACGCCCCCACTGACTGCAGTTCAGATGAAACGAAGGATGAGTTCTACCAAAAGCTGTCTAGTTTGGTGAGAAAGGCTAAACGCTCAGACATAGTCGTTCTAGCTGGTGACTTTAATGCTCAAGTAGGGAAATTGTGTCAATCTGAGAAGGATGTCGGTGGCACCTATGGAGTCCCGTGCCAGCAAACCGACAACGGTGACCGTCTCCTACAGTTCTGCTCTGATAATCATTTGTTTCTCGTAAGCACTAACTTTAAACACAAGGAGAGACACTGTTTAACCTGGCGACCCCCATCATCAAATCAACGCTGGACACAAATAAACCACATAGCAATAAGCTATCGTTGGCGTGGGTCGGTAGGAGATTGTCGCTCCTTCTGGAACACGTGTGTAGATACCGATCACGCACTGGACGCCCTCGTGTGTGCTTACGACTGTACGGACGTAGGAAACAGCTGGCGGTAAAACCATCACGTCCCCAGCTCGATTAGGAAACTAAATCCGTATTTGAGGAAGAACTAGCTAAACACATATCTGTGTTCGACAGCTGTGCTCACCCTGAAGAAGCTTGGAAAAATATCCAGGCAGCCATAGATACAGCTGTAAAAGCTGTGAATAAGGTAAATTCAAAGGTGAGTAAAAACCACTGGATCTCCACCGCCTCATCCGAACTGATAGATGCTAGAAAACTTATTCCGGCGAGCTCCGAATTCAATGAGGAGCGAAAGCTGCACAAAAGGAAACTTACGAAAAGTCTCCGCAAGGACCGTGAACAGTGGTGGACAACAAAAGCCAAAAAGATGGAGAAAGCTTCGAGGATAGGCAACACCAGGCAACTCTTTGGACTCATCAGGGAAACGGGTGGGAGAAGACAGATCATCAGTGAGACAATCTCGGAAAAAAATGGCACTATAATTAGCTCCCAGGATAGACGACTGGATCGTTGGAAAGAGCATTATGAGGAGCAGTTTAATTTGTCCACAGCCACGCTCAACCTTCCAAGCATCCAACACCTCCCTGAATGGGATATAAACACAGGTCCTCCGTCACTAACTGAGGTTACTAAAGCTGTCACCAATCTGAAACTAGGCAAAGCAGCGGGGCCTGATGGAATGACTCCAGAGGTATTTAAGTACGGTGGAGACAGCTTACTGTCTGCATTAACTGAGGTACTAGGCAGCGTCTGGGAATCGGAAGAAGGCCCATCGGGTTGGTGTAAGTCACTGATTATCCCCATATACAAGAAGGCAGACAAGTCCGCCTGTGATAATCACAGAGGGATTAGCTTGACTAATATAGTGGTATCTAAAGTCTTAGGCTCAATAATCATGCGTAGACTGAGTGGTGCTCGGGAAACACAAACACGAGAGAGCCAGGCAGGCTTTAGACCAGGAAGAGGGTGTATTGATCATATCTTCACCCTCTGACAGATTCTAGAACATAGGAATTCCTACCGGCGTCCAACAGTCATTATATTTCTTGACCTAAAGGCAGCATTCGACTCTGTCGATCGAGAAGTTCTCTGGAGATGCTTGGCTGTAAAGGGAATTCCAAGAAAATATATTGCACTGATTAAGACACTCTACTCGTACTCATACAGCCAGGTGAGGGCTTACGGCGAGCTGTCATCTGAACTGATGACGACCAGTGGTGTCCGTCAAGGATGCCCATTATCTCCTTTTCTATTCAATTTCATCATAGATGTGTTAATGGACTTAACGTTAAGTGACTTCAGTGACTCAGGCATTGACCTGCTACCAGGGAATAATCTCGTTGACTTAGAATATGCAGACGATATAGTCCTTCTAGGCGAAGACGCTGACAAAATACAGAGTCTTCTAAACACCTTGAGCCGCAATCTACGAATGTTTGGCATGCGATTCGCTCCCACCAAATGCAAGATCATGTTACAGGACTGGACTACATCGACGCCTAGTTTAAAAATAGGAGGTGAAGTGGTAGAGCACGTTGACCGCTTCACTTACTTGGGAAGTACCATCAGCCAGTGCCAACGGGCTGATCTCTGACGAAATCTCAGCACGAATACAGGGGGCTCGTTTCGCATTTGCCAGTTTACGCCGACTCTGGCGTAGACGAGATGTTCGACTATCGACCAAAGGGCGGGTGTACTGCTCATCAGTCCGCTCCGTCCTCCTTTATGGCTGTGAGCCAGACCTGGCCATTGAGAGTGGAAGACATGAAAAGCTGAGCTGGTTGTCTTTGATCATAGGTGCCTGCGCTCTATTTCCCGTGTAAAGTGGCATAATAAGGTGAGCAACATTGAGGTTAGGCGTAGAGTTCTAGGTAAACAGGGGAAATCAATCGACGAAGTCGTGAAGCTACAAAGACTGAGATGGTTAGGACATGTGTTACGTATGCCAAGCCATCGCCTCCCTCGACGAGCTATGTTAGCGGATATAGGGTCAGACTGGAAAAAAGCTAGCGGCGGTCAAACAAAAACTTGGCTGGGGTCCTCGGGACGGTAAAAATCTATGGTTGGAAACAATTGGTGACATGGCTCAAAACCGTTCTCAGTGGCGCAGATGCATCCACTCCCTGTGACTTATGATCTTCAATGAAACTGTTTTGTATTTCTTTATTACTCCTTTGTCTCACACCTCTGCTCACTGTTTCTATTATGCTTTTCTTGTACTTTCTTCTCTTGCTTCGCGTGCTACACGGCATGTGGCGACTTGAACTTCCGCACATTTGTGCAAAGTTCTATGACGAAAACAAACAGACAGACAGAAATCTCTCTCTGAAGCTCGGAGTGCAATTTACACCGTCTTAGGGGGGTGGGGAATTTCACCATACAGTTTCCTTTGAAAACCAGAACTACTCAAATCACTGCAGTGTGTCATCTGCTTGACACCATAAATGGTAATCAGGGAGGCGAGAATAAATCCAGAAAAACAAATATTACTTATTGATTGAGACGAGTAGTCGCTTAAGGCTCATGTAAATCAATAGTGTGCCTGTATGTCTACGCTTACTTCTTTGACTAATATTTACGGTATGAAGCAGATCATGATGTGTGGTCTGGTTTTTCTTTTGGAAACCATAAGAAAATGATGAAGTGAAATTCCATCAGCCTCAAATTTCATTGAAAGTGTTACCAGTTAGATAGTCCGATATTCGGCTATCGCTTTCAGTGAAGTAAAACTAGGTACACCAGTGATGAGTTCATCCGTGAATAAGTGATGCAGACAGCCATCTGGTATTTAGATCACTTCGATATTGTTGGCTAATTAGCACTGCTGGTCGATGATGTGAGTGGTGTGCAACTAATCGTTTCACTGAATCCGTAGTATATAGTTTTGCTCATTTGACTCTCAACTACCAAGTGGTATCGTAACGGAAGAAGGCAAAATAAAACTTGGTTACGGAGCATATTCATTAAGGAAAACCACACCATAATTATACATTTTTAGCTCCATTTATGATAAGCTAGGTCAATAGATGATAGTAAACCGTTCTGATTGGTCGCTGATATTCTGAAGGTCATGCCTTTAGATTCTTTAGATTGGTCCAGATTTGAGAGGTAAATGCTTCTTCCTACTTCTGCAGCCACTGTCATAAAATGTCAGTTGTTTTCAGTTTTGACTACTTCCTATCAATCTGTGTCTATATACTACTGATGGCAAATCTTGTCAGTAGTACACACCACAGTATGTCTATTTGAAGCGTTTGGGAGTCATTATTGTGTTTTTAAATACACCAGGTTTGCATAAATGTTCAAAAGTGACGATTATTTACTAGAACTATTATAAAAAGACTTGACATGGATTGTGTAGACAATATTGATCTATATGTTTACAACCAGCTCATTGTGATTTTTTTTTTGCATTTTTGTCGTTGTTACAGCCTTCAACAACACATAGTTCCAATTGATCTGGCCAATGAGAACAACAGGCTTGTTGATGATCACATTACAATGGTGTTGGATACGTTTTGTATTTACCAAGAAAGGAATGATGATTCGGAGAAGAGTCAAAATGACTCTGCCTACCAAACTTCAGACAGTAATCATATGAATAGTAATGATGTCAGTGATGTGAAGGGACGCTGGGATGAAGATGATTCTACACGAGATTCTCAAGATACTTTTGAGACTACATTAGAATTCTCCTCATTCAATCGCACGAAATGGAGTCTACTCGTCAACTGTCATTGTAAACATAGTATTGATGATCCTGAAAAGTTGAGCAGTTTTACTGAAGTAACAAGCGATGTTAATTTCTCTAAATGGAGTGACGGTGAATCATCGAATGTTATCAGCTGTAATGAGAGTGATGGAATGCTACAGTCGGATTCAATAGGAAACTTCACGTCGATTAAATCAGGTTGGCTTTTTCTTCTGAAAATAAATTTTTTTCAAAAATATTTTTTCGCAAAGTCTTTACTTTTCTGCAACGGTGGCACAGCGGTTAAGACGCACGCTGACCATGCACATGGTCCGGGGTTAGACCCCCGGCTGTAGACGCAGTCCTTTACCTCGCTAAGCCAGAAATAATGCTGGTAAAGAGGAAAGGCTGGTCATGAGGCTAGCAACCCCATCTTGTAAAAATAAACACTGCTATAGAAACTTCAAGCCACTAGCTTGAAGCCCTATGTTCCACTGGGGAACGTGCAGAAAAAAGTCTTTATTAACAAGGTTGAAATGTATTCACATTAGTGTTGTAACAGCGGAGGATTTATAATGTTTCTGTTTGTTTCTCACTTGACACTAGAATAAGCCTTCAGTCATGATGCTCGCTGTAGCCAACTAATCACTTAGAATTATTTCCCCCAAACTGATTTCTTTTTTAATCCTTTAGGTTCCCAGTGGAACAGACTTCAAGTTTCCATAGCAGTGGTGTTTAGTTTTACAGGATGGGGTTTCTAGCCTCATGTCCGACCTTCCCTCTTTACCAGTCTTATTACTAGCTGAGGGAGGTAAAGGAGTGCATCTCTGGTCGGGGATCGAACCCAGGACCACCTGTGTGGTCGGCGAGCACTCTACTGCTGTGTCACAGACACACACACTGAGTAGACACATAGAATTCGGATTTAATTGAGAAAACTGCGGCAACACTAACAACTTTTTATTCACAATCCACAGTAAATTATCCTGTACCCATCAGCAGAAATTTAAACCATGGATAATTAATGACTATCTGATTGATTGTACCAGTCATAATTTTACGGCTAACACTGAAAGTCAGTCAGTCCCAGCATCTTCCCTCTTTCAATAGATTTTCAGCTGGAGGACCACTACTGAAAGATATTCGTGGGTCTGAGTATTCTCTGCCTATGATCTATAAATAGTTTTGGATATTTTCTAGATGTATGGCCGACTTCACCAGAAAAAAGTAAAGAAGTCGTTACATTGTTCGTTGATCAGAATTAGGCATTTTCAGTGGATACTGATTACTGATGCATATTCCCCGAACACTTTACGAGAAATTCAGATCGTTTCATCAGAATCATGATGGTGAAAAAGTATTTTCCAACAGGTTGGTTCAACTAACCGAATGAATGCCGAATAGATTCTAGTCATGACGTTTTGTAAGATGACGTAAATCTTCCCAATTATTTGAAAAGAATATGACATCTTGACAGATTTCACCAACTAAGTTCGAAATATCTCCAGAAGTATTTTTAACAACATGAAAAGTAATGGAAACTGTAGGGAGAGTTCTTTTCCCTCTCATCTGAGAGGTAAGAAACTGGAGTGAAAATCTCTTCGCACTTGAAGTGGTCATATCTCCTGGTTTTGCACAAATAGTGCCTTCACACTAGATTTCGATGCATCACTGGAATACAGATTCTCGTTCTGACTGTTTTAACACCAGTATTCAAAGATTCCTTGAAACACAACTGTGCAAATAATGTATCAGTTGATAAATTACCCTGTGCTTCTATGGCTGAATGAATGACAGAATCAATAATATCAGTATGCTCATGACTAGATAACTGCAAATACAATTTACTAGTAAGCAGCACTTCACATAGTTTCACTTGTAAGTCTGTTGTTACAGTAACTTGACTGGCTCAGAACTGGAGGACATGATTTAAAAACATCTTGCTGAAAATTAATGACCTGATATTCTTCTGAATTGTATACCACGTCGCCAAATGTATTATGACGACGATGATTTGAATACCCCGTTGCCAGTTTTAGTGGTTTGATGGTTGTTGTCTATCTTGACTACAATGCACCTCTAGACAACTGATTATTTGAAGGTATTCCCCCACACTGAGAAGACGTACAGAAGTTAGATTTAACTATCATAACAACAACCTTGATGATTGCATCAATCATCATTTTCCGGCCAACAAGTATAGTTATTCTTACTATTCCTTTGCGTTCCAAGTAGAATATAGGGCTTCTACAACACAGCTCTACTTTGTTCTATTTTCTGCTGTCCTCTTCAGCTGGTCAGCCACACGATTGCCCCTTGAATCTGCCATCTGCTCCCCTAACTCACACAATCTATAGGCCACCCTTGCACCGACGACCCACTCGTCGCTTCCCATAAGGATTCCACTCTACCAATGGCCTGCACTAAGCTCGATGTCATTCGATGGCCTCCTTAATGGTGTATGCCCGATCCACCTCCATTTTCTCTGGCATATTTAGTTAAGCGTTAGGTTCTTGGCTGGTTTTTTCCACTCCAGAGTTTCTTGTTACTTATTCTTTCTCGCCATTTGATCTCCAGTATGGAGCCAGTGAAGGCATCAGCTGTTGATAAAAGTCTGCAGTGGCCTGTTAGAAATTTTTGTTCGTGACATTCTGGCCAATGTTCTAACTCGTATAGAAGAACTGATTTCACATTTGTGTTGAAAATCTGCATCTTGTTCTAATTAGTTCATCCTAACAGAAATAGACTGTTCTCATTGTTTAAATCTACTCTAACTGTAGTACTACAATTCTTAGTATGACTAAACTTTATCTGCTGATTTGTAAATGTCATCGTTTTGGAAATAAAAAGGTAACGAACGTATATAGAATTCAGATCATCAGAGAAAAATAAACTAAAAAAAGAGTTTGGCAACACACAATTAAATTCAGTGGTTAAGTTTATAAAAATTTTGTATGACATGATGAGTGGATGTCAGAGGGACAAAGTAAAGTAACAATTTAGAACTTTACAACATTGGAAAAGAATGCTTAATGCAGCCTTGAGTGAATTGATTTTTAGTGAAGATGACATTATATCTACTTAAGGATAAGTGATGTTAAATACCCAGATCTCAGCCTATCGCTGGTTTCAGAAGAGTACGCCTAACGCGCCGAATACTATACGCGCAGTAACCGACACGGAAGGATAATACAATTGCGTATTCCTCCACCAATTACAAAAAAGGACGACACGTTACTGTGTGCAAAGTCTGTCAATAAACGTCAATAAAATATACAGTGTGCAATTCTTCTTATTGTATTTCTCCGGTCCTGTGGTAACCAAACATACGATTAAGCCACTGGTCGCTACCGTTATCTCCCGTTCAGTGAAGTTCAGTTCGAAGAAACAAACCATTGAGTATTCATCAACACTGACAACTGCCTTTCAAGCATTTCTTTGTAAACTGGAATTTCAACTTAAATGTGAAAGTTTTGTCAGTCAATCGGATGAGGGATACTGAAAGTGTTATTGACTTTGTGCCTTCCTCGACGGGCAATGTTAGCTGACATTGGGTCAGGTTGGGAAAAAGCTAGCGGCGGTCAAACAAAAACTTGGCTGGGGTCCTCGGGACGGTAAAAATCTATGGTTGGAAACAATTGGTGACATGGCTCAAAACCGTTCTCAGTGGCGCAGATGCATCCACTCCCTGTGACTTATGATCTTCAATGAAACTGTTTTGTATTTCTTTATTACTCCTTTGTCTCACACCTCTGCTCACTGTTTCTATTATGCTTTTCTTGTACTTTCTTCTCTTGCTTCGCGTGCTACACGGCATGTGGCGACTTGAACTTCCGCACATTTGTGCAAAGTTCTATGACGAAAACAAACAGACAGACAGAAATCTCTCTCTGAAGCTCGGAGTGCAATTTACACCGTCTTAGGGGGGTGGGGAATTTCACCATACAGTTTCCTTTGAAAACCAGAACTACTCAAATCACTGCAGTGTGTCATCTGCTTGACACCATAAATGGTAATCAGGGAGGCGAGAATAAATCCAGAAAAACAAATATTACTTATTGATTGAGACGAGTAGTCGCTTAAGGCTCATGTAAATCAATAATGTGCCTGTATGTCTACGCTTACTTGTTTGACTAATATTTACGGTATGAAGCAGATCATGATGTGTGGTCTGGTTTTTCTTTTGGAAACCATAAGAAAATGATGAAGTGAAATTCCATCAGCCTCAAATTTCATTGAAAGTGTTACCAGTTAGATAGTCCGATATTCGGCTATCGCTTTCAGTGAAGTAAAACTAGGTACACCAGTGATGAGTTCATCCGTGAATAAGTGATGCAGACAGCCATCTGGTATTTAGATCACTTCGATATTGTTGGCTAATTAGCACTGCTGGTCGATGATGTGAGTGGTGTGCAACTAATCGTTTCACTGAATCCGTAGTATATAGTTTTGCTCATTTGACTCTCAACTACCAAGTGGTATCGTAACGGAAGAAGGCAAAATAAAACTTGGTTACGGAGCATATTCATTAAGGAAAACCACACCATAATTATACATTTTTAGCTCCATTTATGATAAGCTAGGTCAATAGATGATAGTAAACCGTTCTGATTGGTCGCTGATATTCTGAAGGTCATGCCTTTAGATTCTTTAGATTGGTCCAGATTTGAGAGGTAAATGCTTCTTCCTACTTCTGCAGCCACTGTCATAAAATGTCAGTTGTTTTCAGTTTTGACTACTTCCTATCAATCTGTGTCTATATACTACTGATGGCAAATCTTGTCAGTAGTACACACCACAGTATGTCTATTTGAAGCGTTTGGGAATCATTATTGTGTTTTTAAATACACCAGGTTTGCATAAATGTTCAAAAGTGACGATTATTTACTAGAACTATTATAAAAAGACTTGACATGGATTGTGTAGACAATATTGATCTATATGTTTACAACCAGCTCATTGTGATTTTTTTTTTGCATTTTTGTCGTTGTTACAGCCTTCAACAACACATAGTTCCAATTGATCTGGCCAATGAGAACAACAGGCTTGTTGATGATCACATTACAATGGTGTTGGATACGTTTTGTATTTACCAAGAAAGGAATGATGATTCGGAGAAGAGTCAAAATGACTCTGCCTACCAAACTTCAGACAGTAATCATATGAATAGTAATGATGTCAGTGATGTGAAGGGACGCTGGGATGAAGATGATTCTACACGAGATTCTCAAGATACTTTTGAGACTACATTAGAATTCTCCTCATTCAATCGCACGAAATGGAGTCTACTCGTCAACTGTCATTGTAAACATAGTATTGATGATCCTGAAAAGTTGAGCAGTTTTACTGAAGTAACAAGCGATGTTAATTTCTCTAAATGGAGTGACGGTGAATCATCGAATGTTATCAGCTGTAATGAGAGTGATGGAATGCTACAGTCGGATTCAATAGGAAACTTCACGTCGATTAAATCAGGTTGGCTTTTTCTTCTGAAAATAAATTTTTTTCAAAAATATTTTTTCGCAAAGTCTTTACTTTTCTGCAACGGTGGCACAGCGGTTAAGACGCACGCTGACCATGCACATGGTCCGGGGTTAGACCCCCGGCTGTAGACGCAGTCCTTTACCTCGCTAAGCCAGAAATAATGCTGGTAAAGAGGAAAGGCTGGTCATGAGGCTAGCAACCCCATCTTGTAAAAATAAACACTGCTATAGAAACTTCAAGCCACTAGCTTGAAGCCCTATGTTCCACTGGGGAACGTGCAGAAAAAAAGTCTTTATTAACAAGGTTGAAATGTATTCACATTAGTGTTGTAACAGCGGAGGATTTATAATGTTTCTGTTTGTTTCTCACTTGACACTAGAATAAGCCTTCAGTCATGATGCTCGCTGTAGCCAACTAATCACTTAGAATTATTTCCCCCAAACTGATTTCTTTTTTAATCCTTTAGGTTCCCAGTGGAACAGACTTCAAGTTTCCATAGCAGTGGTGTTTAGTTTTACAGGATGGGGTTTCTAGCCTCATGTCCGACCTTCCCTCTTTACCAGTCTTATTACTAGCTGAGGGAGGTAAAGGAGTGCATCTCTGGTCGGGGATCGAACCCAGGACCACCTGTGTGGTCGGCGAGCACTCTACTGCTGTGTTACAGACACACACACTGAGTAGACACATAGAATTCGGATTTAATTGAGAAAACTGCGGCAACACTAACAACTTTTTATTCACAATCCACAGTAAATTATCCTGTACCCATCAGCAGAAATTTAAACCATGGATAATTAATGACTATCTGATTGATTGTACCAGTCATAATTTTACGGCTAACACTGAAAGTCAGTCAGTCCCAGCATCTTCCCTCTTTCAATAGATTTTCAGCTGGAGGACCACTACTGAAAGATATTCGTGGGTCTGAGTATTCTCTGCCTATGATCTATAAATAGTTTTGGATATTTTCTAGATGTATGGCCGACTTCACCAGAAAAAAGTAAAGAAGTCGTTACATTGTTCGTTGATCAGAATTAGGCATTTTCAGTGGATACTGATTACTGATGCATATTCCCCGAACACTTTACGAGAAATTCAGATCGTTTCATCAGAATCATGATGGTGAAAAAGTATTTTCCAACAGGTTGGTTCAACTAACCGAATGAATGCCGAATAGATTCTAGTCATGACGTTTTGTAAGATGACGTAAATCTTCCCAATTATTTGAAAAGAATATGACATCTTGACAGATTTCACCAACTAAGTTCGAAATATCTCCAGAAGTATTTTTAACAACATGAAAAGTAATGGAAACTGTAGGGAGAGTTCTTTTCCCTCTCATCTGAGAGGTAAGAAACTGGAGTGAAAATCTCTTCGCACTTGAAGTGGTCATATCTCCTGGTTTTGCACAAATAGTGCCTTCACACTAGATTTCGATGCATCACTGGAATACAGATTCTCGTTCTGACTGTTTTAACACCAGTATTCAAAGATTCCTTGAAACACAACTGTGCAAATAATGTATCAGTTGATAAATTACCCTGTGCTTCTATGGCTGAATGAATGACAGAATCAATAATATCAGTATGCTCATGACTAGATAACTGCAAATACAATTTACTAGTAAGCAGCACTTCACATAGTTTCACTTGTAAGTCTGTTGTTACAGTAACTTGACTGGCTCAGAACTGGAGGACATGATTTAAAAACATCTTGCTGAAAATTAATGACCTGATATTCTTCTGAATTGTATACCACGTCGCCAAATGTATTATGACGACGATGATTTGAATACCCCGTTGCCAGTTTTAGTGGTTTGATGGTTGTTGTCTATCTTGACTACAATGCACCTCTAGACAACTGATTATTTGAAGGTATTCCCCCACACTGAGAAGACGTACAGAAGTTAGATTTAACTATCATAACAACAACCTTGATGATTGCATCAATCATCATTTTCCGGCCAACAAGTATAGTTATTCTTACTATTCCTTTGCGTTCCAAGTAGAATATAGGGCTTCTACAACACAGCTCTACTTTGTTCTATTTTCTGCTGTCCTCTTCAGCTGGTCAGCCACACGATTGCCCCTTGAATCTGCCATCTGCTCCCCTAACTCACACAATCTATAGGCCACCCTTGCACCGACGACCCACTCGTCGCTTCCCATAAGGATTCCACTCTACCAATGGCCTGCACTAAGCTCGATGTCATTCGATGGCCTCCTTAATGGTGTATGCCCGATCCACCTCCATTTTCTCTGGCATATTTAGTTAAGCGTTAGGTTCTTGGCTGGTTTTTTCCACTCCAGAGTTTCTTGTTACTTATTCTTTCTCGCCATTTGATCTCCAGTATGGAGCCAGTGAAGGCATCAGCTGTTGATAAAAGTCTGCAGTGGCCTGTTAGAAATTTTTGTTCGTGACATTCTGGCCAATGTTCTAACTCGTATAGAAGAACTGATTTCACATTTGTGTTGAAAATCTGCATCTTGTTCTAATTAGTTCATCCTAACAGAAATAGACTGTTCTCATTGTTTAAATCTACTCTAACTGTAGTACTACAATTCTTAGTATGACTAAACTTTATCTGCTGATTTGTAAATGTCATCGTTTTGGAAATAAAAAGGTAACGAACGTATATAGAATTCAGATCATCAGAGAAAAATAAACTAAAAAAAGAGTTTGGCAACACACAATTAAATTCAGTGGTTAAGTTTATAAAAATTTTGTATGACATGATGAGTGGATGTCAGAGTGACAAAGTAAAGTAACAATTTAGAACTTTACAACATTGGAAAAGAATGCTTAATGTAGCCTTGAGTGAATTGATTTTTAGTGAAGATGACATTATATCTACTTAAGGATAAGTGATGTTAAATACCCAGATCTCAGCCTATCGCTGGTTTCAGAAGAGTACGCCTAACGCGCCGAATACTATACGCGCAGTAACCGACACGGAAGGATAATACAATTGCGTATTCCTCCACCAATTACAAAAAAGGACGACACGTTACTGTGTGCAAAGTCTGTCAATAAACGTCAATAAAATATACAGTGTGCAATTCTTCTTATTGTATTTCTCCGGTCCTGTGGTAACCAAACATACGATTAAGCCACTGGTCGCTACCGTTATCTCCCGTTCAGTGAAGTTCAGTTCGAAGAAACAAACCATTGAGTATTCATCAACACTGACAACTGCCTTTCAAGCATTTCTTTGTAAACTGGAATTTCAACTTAAATGTGAAAGTTTTGTCAGTCAATCGGATGAGGGATACTGAAAGTGTTATTGACTTTGTGCCTTCCTCGACGGGCAATGTTAGCTGACATTGGGTCAGGTTGGGAAAAAGCTAGCGGCGGTCAAACAAAAACTTGGCTGGGGTCCTCGGGACGGTAAAAATCTATGGTTGGAAACAATTGGTGACATGGCTCAAAACCGTTCTCAGTGGCGCAGATGCATCCACTCCCTGTGACTTATGATCTTCAATGAAACTGTTTTGTATTTCTTTATTACTCCTTTGTCTCACACCTCTGCTCACTGTTTCTATTATGCTTTTCTTGTACTTTCTTCTCTTGCTTCGCGTGCTACACGGCATGTGGCGACTTGAACTTCCGCACATTTGTGCAAAGTTCTATGACGAAAACAAACAGACAGACAGAAATCTCTCTCTGAAGCTCGGAGTGCAATTTACACCGTCTTAGGGGGGTGGGGAATTTCACCATACAGTTTCCTTTGAAAACCAGAACTACTCAAATCACTGCAGTGTGTCATCTGCTTGACACCATAAATGGTAATCAGGGAGGCGAGAATAAATCCAGAAAAACAAATATTACTTATTGATTGAGACGAGTAGTCGCTTAAGGCTCATGTAAATCAATAATGTGCCTGTATGTCTACGCTTACTTGTTTGACTAATATTTACGGTATGAAGCAGATCATGATGTGTGGTCTGGTTTTTCTTTTGGAAACCATAAGAAAATGATGAAGTGAAATTCCATCAGCCTCAAATTTCATTGAAAGTGTTACCAGTTAGATAGTCCGATATTCGGCTATCGCTTTCAGTGAAGTAAAACTAGGTACACCAGTGATGAGTTCATCCGTGAATAAGTGATGCAGACAGCCATCTGGTATTTAGATCACTTCGATATTGTTGGCTAATTAGCACTGCTGGTCGATGATGTGAGTGGTGTGCAACTAATCGTTTCACTGAATCCGTAGTATATAGTTTTGCTCATTTGACTCTCAACTACCAAGTGGTATCGTAACGGAAGAAGGCAAAATAAAACTTGGTTACGGAGCATATTCATTAAGGAAAACCACACCATAATTATACATTTTTAGCTCCATTTATGATAAGCTAGGTCAATAGATGATAGTAAACCGTTCTGATTGGTCGCTGATATTCTGAAGGTCATGCCTTTAGATTCTTTAGATTGGTCCAGATTTGAGAGGTAAATGCTTCTTCCTACTTCTGCAGCCACTGTCATAAAATGTCAGTTGTTTTCAGTTTTGACTACTTCCTATCAATCTGTGTCTATATACTACTGATGGCAAATCTTGTCAGTAGTACACACCACAGTATGTCTATTTGAAGCGTTTGGGAATCATTATTGTGTTTTTAAATACACCAGGTTTGCATAAATGTTCAAAAGTGACGATTATTTACTAGAACTATTATAAAAAGACTTGACATGGATTGTGTAGACAATATTGATCTATATGTTTACAACCAGCTCATTGTGATTTTTTTTTTGCATTTTTGTCGTTGTTACAGCCTTCAACAACACATAGTTCCAATTGATCTGGCCAATGAGAACAACAGGCTTGTTGATGATCACATTACAATGGTGTTGGATACGTTTTGTATTTACCAAGAAAGGAATGATGATTCGGAGAAGAGTCAAAATGACTCTGCCTACCAAACTTCAGACAGTAATCATATGAATAGTAATGATGTCAGTGATGTGAAGGGACGCTGGGATGAAGATGATTCTACACGAGATTCTCAAGATACTTTTGAGACTACATTAGAATTCTCCTCATTCAATCGCACGAAATGGAGTCTACTCGTCAACTGTCATTGTAAACATAGTATTGATGATCCTGAAAAGTTGAGCAGTTTTACTGAAGTAACAAGCGATGTTAATTTCTCTAAATGGAGTGACGGTGAATCATCGAATGTTATCAGCTGTAATGAGAGTGATGGAATGCTACAGTCGGATTCAATAGGAAACTTCACGTCGATTAAATCAGGTTGGCTTTTTCTTCTGAAAATAAATATTTTTTAAAAATATTTTTTCGCAAAGTCTTTACTTTTCTGCAACGGTGGCACAGCGGTTAAGACGCACGCTGACCATGCACATGGTCCGGGGTTAGACCCCCGGCTGTAGACGCAGTCCTTTACCTCGCTAAGCCAGAAATAATGCTGGTAAAGAGGAAAGGCTGGTCATGAGGCTAGCAACCCCATCTTGTAAAAATAAACACTGCTATAGAAACTTCAAGCCACTAGCTTGAAGCCCTATGTTCCACTGGGGAACGTGCAGAAAAAAAGTCTTTATTAACAAGGTTGAAATGTATTCACATTAGTGTTGTAACAGCGGAGGATTTATAATGTTTCTGTTTGTTTCTCACTTGACACTAGAATAAGCCTTCAGTCATGATGCTCGCTGTAGCCAACTAATCACTTAGAATTATTTCCCCCAAACTGATTTCTTTTTTAATCCTTTAGGTTCCCAGTGGAACAGACTTCAAGTTTCCATAGCAGTGGTGTTTAGTTTTACAGGATGGGGTTTCTAGCCTCATGTCCGACCTTCCCTCTTTACCAGTCTTATTACTAGCTGAGGGAGGTAAAGGAGTGCATCTCTGGTCGGGGATCGAACCCAGGACCACCTGTGTGGTCGGCGAGCACTCTACTGCTGTGTTACAGACACACACACTGAGTAGACACATAGAATTCGGATTTAATTGAGAAAACTGCGGCAACACTAACAACTTTTTATTCACAATCCACAGTAAATTATCCTGTACCCATCAGCAGAAATTTAAACCATGGATAATTAATGACTATCTGATTGATTGTACCAGTCATAATTTTACGGCTAACACTGAAAGTCAGTCAGTCCCAGCATCTTCCCTCTTTCAATAGATTTTCAGCTGGAGGACCACTACTGAAAGATATTCGTGGGTCTGAGTATTCTCTGCCTATGATCTATAAATAGTTTTGGATATTTTCTAGATGTATGGCCGACTTCACCAGAAAAAAGTAAAGAAGTCGTTACATTGTTCGTTGATCAGAATTAGGCATTTTCAGTGGATACTGATTACTGATGCATATTCCCCGAACACTTTACGAGAAATTCAGATCGTTTCATCAGAATCATGATGGTGAAAAAGTATTTTCCAACAGGTTGGTTCAACTAACCGAATGAATGCCGAATAGATTCTAGTCATGACGTTTTGTAAGATGACGTAAATCTTCCCAATTATTTGAAAAGAATATGACATCTTGACAGATTTCACCAACTAAGTTCGAAATATCTCCAGAAGTATTTTTAACAACATGAAAAGTAATGGAAACTGTAGGGAGAGTTCTTTTCCCTCTCATCTGAGAGGTAAGAAACTGGAGTGAAAATCTCTTCGCACTTGAAGTGGTCATATCTCCTGGTTTTGCACAAATAGTGCCTTCACACTAGATTTCGATGCATCACTGGAATACAGATTCTCGTTCTGACTGTTTTAACACCAGTATTCAAAGATTCCTTGAAACACAACTGTGCAAATAATGTATCAGTTGATAAATTACCCTGTGCTTCTATGGCTGAATGAATGACAGAATCAATAATATCAGTATGCTCATGACTAGATAACTGCAAATACAATTTACTAGTAAGCAGCACTTCACATAGTTTCACTTGTAAGTCTGTTGTTACAGTAACTTGACTGGCTCAGAACTGGAGGACATGATTTAAAAACATCTTGCTGAAAATTAATGACCTGATATTCTTCTGAATTGTATACCACGTCGCCAAATGTATTATGACGACGATGATTTGAATACCCCGTTGCCAGTTTTAGTGGTTTGATGGTTGTTGTCTATCTTGACTACAATGCACCTCTAGACAACTGATTATTTGAAGGTATTCCCCCACACTGAGAAGACGTACAGAAGTTAGATTTAACTATCATAACAACAACCTTGATGATTGCATCAATCATCATTTTCCGGCCAACAAGTATAGTTATTCTTACTATTCCTTTGCGTTCCAAGTAGAATATAGGGCTTCTACAACACAGCTCTACTTTGTTCTATTTTCTGCTGTCCTCTTCAGCTGGTCAGCCACACGATTGCCCCTTGAATCTGCCATCTGCTCCCCTAACTCACACAATCTATAGGCCACCCTTGCACCGACGACCCACTCGTCGCTTCCCATAAGGATTCCACTCTACCAATGGCCTGCACTAAGCTCGATGTCATTCGATGGCCTCCTTAATGGTGTATGCCCGATCCACCTCCATTTTCTCTGGCATATTTAGTTAAGCGTTAGGTTCTTGGCTGGTTTTTTCCACTCCAGAGTTTCTTGTTACTTATTCTTTCTCGCCATTTGATCTCCAGTATGGAGCCAGTGAAGGCATCAGCTGTTGATAAAAGTCTGCAGTGGCCTGTTAGAAATTTTTGTTCGTGACATTCTGGCCAATGTTCTAACTCGTATAGAAGAACTGATTTCACATTTGTGTTGAAAATCTGCATCTTGTTCTAATTAGTTCATCCTAACAGAAATAGACTGTTCTCATTGTTTAAATCTACTCTAACTGTAGTACTACAATTCTTAGTATGACTAAACTTTATCTGCTGATTTGTAAATGTCATCGTTTTGGAAATAAAAAGGTAACGAACGTATATAGAATTCAGATCATCAGAGAAAAATAAACTAAAAAAAGAGTTTGGCAACACACAATTAAATTCAGTGGTTAAGTTTATAAAAATTTTGTATGACATGATGAGTGGATGTCAGAGGGACAAAGTAAAGTAACAATTTAGAACTTTACAACATTGGAAAAGAATGCTTAATGCAGCCTTGAGTGAATTGATTTTTAGTGAAGATGACATTATATCTACTTAAGGATAAGTGATGTTAAATACCCAGATCTCAGCCTATCGCTGGTTTCAGAAGAGTACGCCTAACGCGCCGAATACTATACGCGCAGTAACCGACACGGAAGGATAATACAATTGCGTATTCCTCCACCAATTACAAAAAAGGACGACACGTTACTGTGTGCAAAGTCTGTCAATAAACGTCAATAAAATATACAGTGTGCAATTCTTCTTATTGTATTTCTCCGGTCCTGTGGTAACCAAACATACGATTAAGCCACTGGTCGCTACCGTTATCTCCCGTTCAGTGAAGTTCAGTTCGAAGAAACAAACCATTGAGTATTCATCAACACTGACAACTGCCTTTCAAGCATTTCTTTGTAAACTGGAATTTCAACTTAAATGTGAAAGTTTTGTCAGTCAATCGGATGAGGGATACTGAAAGTGTTATTGACTTTGTGCCTTCCTCGACGAGCTATGTTAGCGGATATAGGGTCAGACTGGAAAAAAGCTAGCGGCGGTCAAACAAAAACTTGGCTGGGGTCCTCGGGACGGTAAAAATCTATGGTTGGAAACAATTGGTGACATGGCTCAAAACCGTTCTCAGTGGCGCAGATGCATCCACTCCCTGTGACTTATGATCTTCAATGAAACTGTTTTGTATTTCTTTATTACTCCTTTGTCTCACACCTCTGCTCACTGTTTCTATTATGCTTTTCTTGTACTTTCTTCTCTTGCTTCGCGTGCTACACGGCATGTGGCGACTTGAACTTCCGCACATTTGTGCAAAGTTCTATGACGAAAACAAACAGACAGACAGAAATCTCTCTCTGAAGCTCGGAGTGCAATTTACACCGTCTTAGGGGGGTGGGGAATTTCACCATACAGTTTCCTTTGAAAACCAGAACTACTCAAATCACTGCAGTGTGTCATCTGCTTGACACCATAAATGGTAATCAGGGAGGCGAGAATAAATCCAGAAAAACAAATATTACTTATTGATTGAGACGAGTAGTCGCTTAAGGCTCATGTAAATCAATAGTGTGCCTGTATGTCTACGCTTACTTCTTTGACTAATATTTACGGTATGAAGCAGATCATGATGTGTGGTCTGGTTTTTCTTTTGGAAACCATAAGAAAATGATGAAGTGAAATTCCATCAGCCTCAAATTTCATTGAAAGTGTTACCAGTTAGATAGTCCGATATTCGGCTATCGCTTTCAGTGAAGTAAAACTAGGTACACCAGTGATGAGTTCATCCGTGAATAAGTGATGCAGACAGCCATCTGGTATTTAGATCACTTCGATATTGTTGGCTAATTAGCACTGCTGGTCGATGATGTGAGTGGTGTGCAACTAATCGTTTCACTGAATCCGTAGTATATAGTTTTGCTCATTTGACTCTCAACTACCAAGTGGTATCGTAACGGAAGAAGGCAAAATAAAACTTGGTTACGGAGCATATTCATTAAGGAAAACCACACCATAATTATACATTTTTAGCTCCATTTATGATAAGCTAGGTCAATAGATGATAGTAAACCGTTCTGATTGGTCGCTGATATTCTGAAGGTCATGCCTTTAGATTCTTTAGATTGGTCCAGATTTGAGAGGTAAATGCTTCTTCCTACTTCTGCAGCCACTGTCATAAAATGTCAGTTGTTTTCAGTTTTGACTACTTCCTATCAATCTGTGTCTATATACTACTGATGGCAAATCTTGTCAGTAGTACACACCACAGTATGTCTATTTGAAGCGTTTGGGAGTCATTATTGTGTTTTTAAATACACCAGGTTTGCATAAATGTTCAAAAGTGACGATTATTTACTAGAACTATTATAAAAAGACTTGACATGGATTGTGTAGACAATATTGATCTATATGTTTACAACCAGCTCATTGTGATTTTTTTTTTGCATTTTTGTCGTTGTTACAGCCTTCAACAACACATAGTTCCAATTGATCTGGCCAATGAGAACAACAGGCTTGTTGATGATCACATTACAATGGTGTTGGATACGTTTTGTATTTACCAAGAAAGGAATGATGATTCGGAGAAGAGTCAAAATGACTCTGCCTACCAAACTTCAGACAGTAATCATATGAATAGTAATGATGTCAGTGATGTGAAGGGACGCTGGGATGAAGATGATTCTACACGAGATTCTCAAGATACTTTTGAGACTACATTAGAATTCTCCTCATTCAATCGCACGAAATGGAGTCTACTCGTCAACTGTCATTGTAAACATAGTATTGATGATCCTGAAAAGTTGAGCAGTTTTACTGAAGTAACAAGCGATGTTAATTTCTCTAAATGGAGTGACGGTGAATCATCGAATGTTATCAGCTGTAATGAGAGTGATGGAATGCTACAGTCGGATTCAATAGGAAACTTCACGTCGATTAAATCAGGTTGGCTTTTTCTTCTGAAAATAAATTTTTTTCAAAAATATTTTTTCGCAAAGTCTTTACTTTTCTGCAACGGTGGCACAGCGGTTAAGACGCACGCTGACCATGCACATGGTCCGGGGTTAGACCCCCGGCTGTAGACGCAGTCCTTTACCTCGCTAAGCCAGAAATAATGCTGGTAAAGAGGAAAGGCTGGTCATGAGGCTAGCAACCCCATCTTGTAAAAATAAACACTGCTATAGAAACTTCAAGCCACTAGCTTGAAGCCCTATGTTCCACTGGGGAACGTGCAGAAAAAAAGTCTTTATTAACAAGGTTGAAATGTATTCACATTAGTGTTGTAACAGCGGAGGATTTATAATGTTTCTGTTTGTTTCTCACTTGACACTAGAATAAGCCTTCAGTCATGATGCTCGCTGTAGCCAACTAATCACTTAGAATTATTTCCCCCAAACTGATTTCTTTTTTAATCCTTTAGGTTCCCAGTGGAACAGACTTCAAGTTTCCATAGCAGTGGTGTTTAGTTTTACAGGATGGGGTTTCTAGCCTCATGTCCGACCTTCCCTCTTTACCAGTCTTATTACTAGCTGAGGGAGGTAAAGGAGTGCATCTCTGGTCGGGGATCGAACCCAGGACCACCTGTGTGGTCGGCGAGCACTCTACTGCTGTGTTACAGACACACACACTGAGTAGACACATAGAATTCGGATTTAATTGAGAAAACTGCGGCAACACTAACAACTTTTTATTCACAATCCACAGTAAATTATCCTGTACCCATCAGCAGAAATTTAAACCATGGATAATTAATGACTATCTGATTGATTGTACCAGTCATAATTTTACGGCTAACACTGAAAGTCAGTCAGTCCCAGCATCTTCCCTCTTTCAATAGATTTTCAGCTGGAGGACCACTACTGAAAGATATTCGTGGGTCTGAGTATTCTCTGCCTATGATCTATAAATAGTTTTGGATATTTTCTAGATGTATGGCCGACTTCACCAGAAAAAAGTAAAGAAGTCGTTACATTGTTCGTTGATCAGAATTAGGCATTTTCAGTGGATACTGATTACTGATGCATATTCCCCGAACACTTTACGAGAAATTCAGATCGTTTCATCAGAATCATGATGGTGAAAAAGTATTTTCCAACAGGTTGGTTCAACTAACCGAATGAATGCCGAATAGATTCTAGTCATGACGTTTTGTAAGATGACGTAAATCTTCCCAATTATTTGAAAAGAATATGACATCTTGACAGATTTCACCAACTAAGTTCGAAATATCTCCAGAAGTATTTTTAACAACATGAAAAGTAATGGAAACTGTAGGGAGAGTTCTTTTCCCTCTCATCTGAGAGGTAAGAAACTGGAGTGAAAATCTCTTCGCACTTGAAGTGGTCATATCTCCTGGTTTTGCACAAATAGTGCCTTCACACTAGATTTCGATGCATCACTGGAATACAGATTCTCGTTCTGACTGTTTTAACACCAGTATTCAAAGATTCCTTGAAACACAACTGTGCAAATAATGTATCAGTTGATAAATTACCCTGTGCTTCTATGGCTGAATGAATGACAGAATCAATAATATCAGTATGCTCATGACTAGATAACTGCAAATACAATTTACTAGTAAGCAGCACTTCACATAGTTTCACTTGTAAGTCTGTTGTTACAGTAACTTGACTGGCTCAGAACTGGAGGACATGATTTAAAAACATCTTGCTGAAAATTAATGACCTGATATTCTTCTGAATTGTATACCACGTCGCCAAATGTATTATGACGACGATGATTTGAATACCCCGTTGCCAGTTTTAGTGGTTTGATGGTTGTTGTCTATCTTGACTACAATGCACCTCTAGACAACTGATTATTTGAAGGTATTCCCCCACACTGAGAAGACGTACAGAAGTTAGATTTAACTATCATAACAACAACCTTGATGATTGCATCAATCATCATTTTCCGGCCAACAAGTATAGTTATTCTTACTATTCCTTTGCGTTCCAAGTAGAATATAGGGCTTCTACAACACAGCTCTACTTTGTTCTATTTTCTGCTGTCCTCTTCAGCTGGTCAGCCACACGATTGCCCCTTGAATCTGCCATCTGCTCCCCTAACTCACACAATCTATAGGCCACCCTTGCACCGACGACCCACTCGTCGCTTCCCATAAGGATTCCACTCTACCAATGGCCTGCACTAAGCTCGATGTCATTCGATGGCCTCCTTAATGGTGTATGCCCGATCCACCTCCATTTTCTCTGGCATATTTAGTTAAGCGTTAGGTTCTTGGCTGGTTTTTTCCACTCCAGAGTTTCTTGTTACTTATTCTTTCTCGCCATTTGATCTCCAGTATGGAGCCAGTGAAGGCATCAGCTGTTGATAAAAGTCTGCAGTGGCCTGTTAGAAATTTTTGTTCGTGACATTCTGGCCAATGTTCTAACTCGTATAGAAGAACTGATTTCACATTTGTGTTGAAAATCTGCATCTTGTTCTAATTAGTTCATCCTAACAGAAATAGACTGTTCTCATTGTTTAAATCTACTCTAACTGTAGTACTACAATTCTTAGTATGACTAAACTTTATCTGCTGATTTGTAAATGTCATCGTTTTGGAAATAAAAAGGTAACGAACGTATATAGAATTCAGATCATCAGAGAAAAATAAACTAAAAAAAGAGTTTGGCAACACACAATTAAATTCAGTGGTTAAGTTTATAAAAATTTTGTATGACATGATGAGTGGATGTCAGAGGGACAAAGTAAAGTAACAATTTAGAACTTTACAACATTGGAAAAGAATGCTTAATGCAGCCTTGAGTGAATTGATTTTTAGTGAAGATGACATTATATCTACTTAAGGATAAGTGATGTTAAATACCCAGATCTCAGCCTATCGCTGGTTTCAGAAGAGTACGCCTAACGCGCCGAATACTATACGCGCAGTAACCGACACGGAAGGATAATACAATTGCGTATTCCTCCACCAATTACAAAAAAGGACGACACGTTACTGTGTGCAAAGTCTGTCAATAAACGTCAATAAAATATACAGTGTGCAATTCTTCTTATTGTATTTCTCCGGTCCTGTGGTAACCAAACATACGATTAAGCCACTGGTCGCTACCGTTATCTCCCGTTCAGTGAAGTTCAGTTCGAAGAAACAAACCATTGAGTATTCATCAACACTGACAACTGCCTTTCAAGCATTTCTTTGTAAACTGGAATTTCAACTTAAATGTGAAAGTTTTGTCAGTCAATCGGATGAGGGATACTGAAAGTGTTATTGACTTTGTGCCTTCCTCGACGGGCAATGTTAGCTGACATTGGGTCAGGTTGGGAAAGATCCAATGGTAGTAGTCAAACCAAAACATAGCTTCACTAGTCAGTGAAATCCACAACATTTAGTTTAAGTCAACTACACAGGAGGAAGGTGTAGACTTCCTGACTGGTTGAGGTTCTCCGGATGGTAAAATCCGGTGACTGGAGACACTTCATGACATGGGTCAAAATGGTTGTCAGTTAATGGTGTAGATACATATATATATATATACTTGCTGCTTGGGATATTTCGGATCGTGGCAAATACCCATCAGGGCGTTAGAAGGAAAAGAACAAGAAGTTCAGCAAACTGAAATCTTCTTTACGGCAATCCCAGTCAGTCGCATTTATATACTTAAGTCTACATAGATTCAATCATTCTTGTTTAATTCTACATAACAAAGAAGAAGAAGGGAGTTAAAGATGTGCTAATAATCGTTAACTTGAATGCAAAGTTTGAGAGTGTGAGCTTCTGCAGTACGAAGAAGACAGAAACACACTTCTTCTAGTAGATTTCCGTTTACTTTGTAAGTGACTGAATGATGGATGAGTCAGTTGAGATACTGTGACAGGTGTTGACAAGGCCTTCAGTTATGGCGATTTTGATGAACCAGTGCCTCCTCTCCACTACAGCCATGCTGAATAATTTTCTCTAATACGTTTTAATAGGACCCTCACAAAACGACTTATGTATCTAGCTGTTCACGAGCAACTATTTTCTCATCCCCTTGTAATCGATATTCGGACCCTTGAACTTACACATCACGTTGAAATTAATATCACACCTATAACCTCCTTCTCCGTTATTATAAGAAATTAAATAATAAGAATCACAAAAAAACTTGGAGGATCTGGACTTCGCCGATGATGATATATGTCTGATTTCCCACAAACTGGAAGATATGCGAGTGAAAAGCAACAAGTTGGCAGAAGAAGGATCAAAGATAGGACTACAGGTGAACATAGAGAAAACAGAGGTGATGAAGATTCTTGGCCAACAGCAACAACGACAGACAACAATCAGCCAGCGTGAATGGGAGGAACCTGAAAGAAACAACCTCCTTCACCTACCTGGGAAGCATCGTTTCAACTACAGGCGAAACTGACGAGGATATCAAAGCAAGAATCGGGAAAGCAAGGCAAGCTTTCATTACTCTCAAGTCTGTGTAGAGTTCAACAGCGCTCACCATGAAAAATGACATCCGGATTTTCAAGTTCAATGTGAAGTTAGTGCTACTCACTATACGGATCAGAGACTTGCACTGCGCGTCATAAAGAACATCTCAAACAAACTACATACCTTCATCAACAGCTAGCTGCCTTCTCCCAAAACTCAAGATCAGATGGCCGGCCAGGAAAGATCAGCAACAGGGATCTCTGGCAATGAGCGAAGCAACCAGGAACCGATTGTACAACAAATAGGCAGGAAGAAATGGAGATGGATTGGCTGGTCATACTCTGCGGAAACCATCAAGCGACATCACTAGACAAGCCACTGTTCGAGTGTGACCCGAAAGGGAAGCGGCGAGTTGATCGTCAGTTCGAGGGTTACTTGGAGGTCATGTGAAGAGAAGATGAAAGCGTGTGGGCAGACTTGGAGCCAGGTGAAAACTCTAGCAGAGAACCGAACGCAATAGAGACGCCAGATTGAAGCCCTGTGTTCCTCTAGGAATTAAAGGAAATAATAATCATGATTATATCTGTGTAAACTTATGTATATAAGTGTGACTGTACAGCTGCGCTTTTGAGAATTAAATCGCCGAAAATATCAACAACTTTTCTGTTGAACTTCATGTTCTCTTCTCTCTAATATTTTTAGTTCATTAAACTCTCGTCATTCTTCATATGTGATTTATTTTGATTTTTGACAACATTAACGTTTATGTTAATTTCTTTACACTTCTCTGCTTGATAGATGAAATTCAACCAGAAGATTTCATGAAACGTGTGGAGCTCAAGGAAAGATATGAAGAGTTGATTGAATGCATAGACTGTCATCAGCCGGCTATACATCAGATAGACGGGGAGTTGAATACAATCAGTCAGAATTTAGCCTTGATTGCTAGCAAATTGAATGATCCTGACTGTGATGCTCATCTAACTGGCACGAGTTTATCAACTACTGGTGCACTCTTTAAACAGATACTTGGATTAGAAGAGATCGAGTTAGAAATTAGACAAACTGACGAAAATCTGTGTGAAATAAAGTTTAATCCGCTGTTCACTACAGACTCCTGTCAGACAGAAGGAATTCAGAAGAGACTGGAGTCCACTGAAGGTGAACTAATCGATATGCAATTTGCTATAGATAACAAGCTAAAGCATTTGAAGCAATTCCATCAGAGATTAGATGAATTCACAGAATCTATTAAAACCCAATTGGTATGGATAAGAGAACAAGAAAGTGAATTGGAACAATATACCATAAGGCATAATAATAACGAATCCGAAGCTTTGGAGAAAGAACTCAATGACTTTTATATGCTTATTATAAAACTTAATCATTATCAAAGAGATAGTCTACAGCCAATGCTGAATACCTATGACAAACTGACGCGTAACAACTTCATTTGGATTGAAATTGTTGACCGCTTCACTTATTTGGGAAGTACCATCAGCCAGTGCCAACGGGTTGATCTCTGACGAAATCTCAGCACGGATACAGGGGGCTCGTTTCGCATTTGCCAGTTTACGCCGACTCTGGCGCAGACGAGATATTCGACTATCGACCAAAGGGCGAGTGTACTGTTCATCAGTTCGCTCCGTCCTCCTTTATGGCTGTGAGCCAGACCTGGCCATTGAGAGTGGAAGACATGAAAAGATTAGCTGACTTTGATCATAGGCTCCTGCGCTCTATTTCCCATGTAAAGTGGCATAATAAGTTGAGCAACATTGAAGTTAGGCGTCGAGTTCTAGGTAAACAGGGGAAATCAATCGACGAAGTCGTGAAGTTACAAAGACTGAGATGGTTAGGACATGTGTTACACATGTCTAGGCAAGTCATCGCCTCCCTCGACGAGCAATGTCAGCGGATATAGGGTCAGGTTGGAAAAAAGCTAACGGCGGTCAAACAAAAACTTGTCACCAGTCAATGAAATCCACAACAGTTGGTCGAAGCCACGTAGGAAGGTGTAGACTTCCAGGCTGGGGTCCTCGGGACGGTAAAAATCTATGGTTGGAAACAATTGGTGACATGGCTCAAAATCGTTCTCAGTGGCGCAGATGCATCCACTCCCTGTGACTTATGATCTCCAATGAAACTATTTTGTTTTACTTTATTACTCCTTTGCCTCACATCTCTGCTCACTGTCTCTATTATGCTTTTCTTGTACTTTCTTCTCTTGCTTCGCGTGCTACACGGAGTGTGGCGACTTGAACTTCCGCACATTTGTGCAAAGTTCTATGTCGAATACAGACAGACAGGCAAATAAGTTTTGCATCCAGAGCACCTTTTAGTCCCTCCAAGATGACACAACTTATTATCCTGTTCTGAGTGGACAGGAGCAGGATTGCGTGCCAGTTTTTGCAAAGGCTTAAGTTATTTAAATAAAGACGAAAAAGAAGTCAACATCTGTAAATACGAACCTATATACAGTGAGTTATGCCAGCAACCTTTCCAACGCTTAGTAAACGTTGTGTAGCTTGGAAATGTGAGACGATGACTAAAAGTGCTTCACTTACTGTTGTATAGCTGTTTAACTCCAGTGAAACTACTATACAATGAAATCAGCTTTGTACGACCTGTGTATATAGAAGAACTACAAACTAGTATATTTCTGCTAGCGAATAATAGGAGTCTAGAAATAAACAATGATTTATTTTTATGACTCAGCTTATGCTAATTATACCTATGAAGTTAGACGCATATAATAATAAGACTGTTGGTATTTTAATAGTAACTAACCTGTGCTTGTTTAAGCCATACTTTTGGACGACTGGATTTCTCGACACGTGGTAACAACCGACCAATGATGACAGCTTGAAGAGTGTATGCATTATACGGATTACGTGTCCAGTAGCGTTATCAGATGCGGCTCAAAAATGGTATTAGTGGTAAACATGCTGCAATTCCCCCGTTCCATTTTCAGAATTACCTAGTTTGTGTTTTATTTAAATATGTCGGAATAAAATTCACTCTTCAGTGTTGTCATTTGAGAAGATTGTAGGGTCTGTACGCCCTCGATTTAAAAACTTCTTTTTAGATGGCGTTAGGATTAGTTGGAATCACCGCTATCAACACTTCCATAGGAGAAACTAAATTCGGAAAATAAACATCTTTGAAGGGAGACGTCACTATCAACGTACCATAAATACTAAACCACACTTTTTTGTTCATTTTTAAAGAAGTCAAGATCCATTTTAAAATCATGCTTTGTAAACACTACAGAATTGTATGTTTCTAAATTGTATTATTATTTGGTCATTTTATCATTTGGCGTACGCCGCGTAGTACTGGTGTTTCAGAAGAGACCTTTATACTTGTTTAACTATGCTCTTAAGCAAATAATGTAAGGATTAAATATTGGGAACTGTAGCTCACAGGTGTAGGTGCTAGACTTCCAACCACCGAGTCTTAGATGCTAACCGCGTTCCGCCTATTATGGTTTACTGGTTAGGTAGTATCATTAACCCACACATAACAGATGTAGCACATTGCCAACCACGTACAAATGCATATGATCGTTGAAAAACATTTAATTTTTAATTTTAGAAGTTGAATAAGCTATCTGTAGTCATTTATCTATGATGTCGAGCTGGTTACTAAGTTATGTCATCCCTTAGAAAGTAGACGGTTTGTTTACTATATCAAATATATCTAAGCATTGTTAACGCATTCTATTTTCTTTTATTTACCTTTCTACAGGATAATATGACTGAGGCAACATCACTTGATAATAAATATACAGTGGTCTTGCATAGGAACGAGAATGAAGAACCACTAACAGTGAATGTTTCAGACATTCTTTCTTTATCGACGTTTTCTCGACGAGCTGTAGTGGATTTTGGTTCAACTACTGGGAAACCATTAACTCGTTTCTTGTTGCTAGAGAACCTTATTGATGAGGCACAGTCGGTAAGTCTCTGCCCTTTTTATAATGTACTTAGTTATTTATCTCTGATGCACTTGGTTCATTTCGTATTTGTAAGTTATACAGACTGTTTTCTGAAGAAAACAAGTATTCATAGAAAATAATCAGTGGCATAAGTATAAAACTTGGGCACTGTGGTAGAGTATAATTCCATTATAGATAAGATTTTATTTTGATAAATCGCACAGTGTTTACAGTTATATGAACTGATATATAACTGTAAACACTCGGTTTCGTCCTGCTTTCCCTTCACATCTTGTTATTTACTTCACATTCTCATATTCTGTGATTTGTATAGATTCTAAGTCCATTACCAAAGTAACCTAAGTCATGGTTACAACAGACGTTCCTGTTCACCAGTCTATAATCTTTTTAAATATTTTAGCAGTTTGTTGCATGTCTCATTCCCTTTAATTTTTTCAAAGGTTGTAGTTCAACGTGGACCTCCAGAGAATGAATTCCTTATTGACTGGATAGCATCAGAAACAGATAATAACGAATTTCGATCATGCTATCCTGCAGTCTCTAAACGAATTCACCTTTCACCTTTGCACGGCCGAGCTCTATTGAAAATTACATGGGCACCTGCTCGTAATTCAACGTCAGAGGGTGTATCTACTTTCCATCATGTTATTCAATTCCGTGTTAATAAGACTGTTGGTATTTTAATAGTAACTAACCTGTGCTTGTTTAAGCCATACTTTTGGACGACTGGATTTCTCGACACGTGGTAACAACCGACCAATGATGACAGCTTGAAGAGTGTATGCATTATATAATGCATAATGTATAATGCATACACTCTTCAAGCTGTCATCATTGGTCGGTTGTTACCACGTGTCGAGAAATCCAGTCGTCCAAAAGTATGGCTTAAACAAGCACAGGTTAGTTACTATTAAAATACCAACAGTCTTATTAACACGGAATTGAATAACATGATGGAAAGTAGATACACCCTCTGACGTTGAATTACGAGCAGGTGCCCATGTAATTTTCAATAGAGCTCGGCCGTGCAAAGGTGAAAGGTGAATTCGTTTAGAGACTGCAGGATAGCATGATCGAAATTCGTTATTATCTGTTTCTGATGCTATCCAGTCAATAAGGAATTCATTCTCTGGAGGTCCACGTTGAACTACAACCTTTGAAAAAATTAAAGGGAATGAGACATGCAACAAACTGCTAAAATATTTAAAAAGATTATAGACTGGTGAACAGGAACGTCTGTTGTAACCATGACTTAGGTTACTTTGGTAATGGACTTAGAATCTATACAAATCACAGAATATGAGAATGTGAAGTAAATAACAAGATGTGAAGGGAAAGCAGGACGAAACCGAGTGTTTACAGTTATATATCAGTTCATATAACTGTAAACACTGTGCGATTTATCAAAATAAAATCTTATCTATAATGGAATTATACTCTACCACAGTGCCCAAGTTTTATACTTATGCCACTGATTATTTTCTATGAATACTTGTTTTCTTCAGAAAACAGTCTGTATAACTTACAAATACGAAATGAACCAAGTGCATCAGAGATAAATAACTAAGTACATTATAAAAAGGGCAGAGACTTACCGACTGTGCCTCATCAATAAGGTTCTCTAGCAACAAGAAACGAGTTAATGGTTTCCCAGTAGTTGAACCAAAATCCACTACAGCTCGTCGAGAAAACGTCGATAAAGAAAGAATGTCTGAAACATTCACTGTTAGTGGTTCTTCATTCTCGTTCCTATGCAAGACCACTGTATATTTATTATCAAGTGATGTTGCCTCAGTCATATTATCCTGTAGAAAGGTAAATAAAAGAAAATAGAATGCGTTAACAATGCTTAGATATATTTGATATAGTAAACAAACCGTCTACTTTCTAAGGGATGACATAACTTAGTAACCAGCTCGACATCATAGATAAATGACTACAGATAGCTTATTCAACTTCTAAAATTAAAAATTAAATGTTTTTCAACGATCATATGCATTTGTACGTGGTTGGCAATGTGCTACATCTGTTATGTGTGGGTTAATGATACTACCTAACCAGTAAACCATAATAGGCGGAACGCGGTTAGCATCTAAGACTCGGTGGTTGGAAGTCTAGCACCTACACCTGTGAGCTACAGTTCCCAATATTTAATCCTTACATTATTTGCTTAAGAGCATAGTTAAACAAGTATAAAGGTCTCTTCTGAAACACCAGTACTACGCGGCGTACGCCAAATGATAAAATGACCAAATAATAATACAATTTAGAAACATACAATTCTGTAGTGTTTACAAAGCATGATTTTAAAATGGATCTTGACTTCTTTAAAAATGAACAAAAAAGTGTGGTTTAGTATTTATGGTACGTTGATAGTGACGTCTCCCTTCAAAGATGTTTATTTTCCGAATTTAGTTTCTCCTATGGAAGTGTTGATAGCGGTGATTCCAACTAATCCTAACGCCATCTAAAAAGAAGTTTTTAAATCGAGGGCGTACAGACCCTACAATCTTCTCAAATGACAACACTGAAGAGTGAATTTTATTCCGACATATTTAAATAAAACACAAACTAGGTAATTCTGAAAATGGAACGGGGGAATTGCAGCATGTTTACCACTAATACCATTTTTGAGCCGCATCTGATAACGCTACTGGACACGTAATCCGTATAATGCATACACTCTTCAAGCTGTCATCATTGGTCGGTTGTTACCACGTGTCGAGAAATCCAGTCGTCCAAAAGTATGGCTTAAACAAGCACAGGTTAGTTACTATTAAAATACCAACAGTCTTATTATTATATGCGTCTAACTTCATAGGTATAATTAGCATAAGCTGAGTCATAAAAATAAATCATTGTTTATTTCTAGACTCCTATTATTCGCTAGCAGAAATATACTAGTTTGTAGTTCTTCTATATACACAGGTCGTACAAAGCTGATTTCATTGTATAGTAGTTTCACTGGAGTTAAACAGCTATACAACAGTAAGTGAAGCACTTTTAGTCATCGTCTCACATTTCCAAGCTACACAACGTTTACTAAGCGTTGGAAAGGTTGCTGGCATAACTCACTGTATATAGGTTCGTATTTACAGATGTTGACTTCTTTTTCGTCTTTATTTAAATAACTTAAGCCTTTGCAAAAACTGGCACGCAATCCTGCTCCTGTCCACTCAGAACAGGATAATAAGTTGTGTCATCTTGGAGGGACTAAAAGGTGCTCTGGATGCAAAACTTATTTGCCTGTCTGTCTGTATTCGACATAGAACTTTGCACAAATGTGCGGAAGTTCAAGTCGCCACACTCCGTGTAGCACGCGAAGCAAGAGAAGAAAGTACAAGAAAAGCATAATAGAGACAGTGAGCAGAGATGTGAGGCAAAGGAGTAATAAAGTAAAACAAAATAGTTTCATTGGAGATCATAAGTCACAGGGAGTGGATGCATCTGCGCCACTGAGAACGATTTTGAGCCATGTCACCAATTGTTTCCAACCATAGATTTTTACCGTCCCGAGGACCCCAGCCTGGAAGTCTACACCTTCCTACGTGGCTTCGACCAACTGTTGTGGATTTCATTGACTGGTGACAAGTTTTTGTTTGACCGCCGTTAGCTTTTTTCCAACCTGACCCTATATCCGCTGACATTGCTCGTCGAGGGAGGCGATGACTTGCCTAGACATGTGTAACACATGTCCTAACCATCTCAGTCTTTGTAACTTCACGACTTCGTCGATTGATTTCCCCTGTTTACCTAGAACTCGACGCCTAACTTCAATGTTGCTCAACTTATTATGCCACTTTACATGGGAAATAGAGCGCAGGAGCCTATGATCAAAGTCAGCTAATCTTTTCATGTCTTCCACTCTCAATGGCCAGGTCTGGCTCACAGCCATAAAGGAGGACGGAGCGAACTGATGAACAGTACACTCGCCCTTTGGTCGATAGTCGAATATCTCGTCTGCGCCAGAGTCGGCGTAAACTGGCAAATGCGAAACGAGCCCCCTGTATCCGTGCTGAGATTTCGTCAGAGATCAACCCGTTGGCACTGGCTGATGGTACTTCCCAAATAAGTGAAGCGGTCAACAATTTCAATCCAAATGAAGTTGTTGCGCGTCAGTTTGTCATAAGTATTCAGCATTGGCTGTAGACTATCTCTTTGATAATGATTAAGTTTTATAATAAGCATATAAGCTTCAGTTTATTTGATTGATATAGCCTTACGCACATATCCGTATACGCGGAATTGGTATACTGTGTTCACCTCTCACTTGGGTATTTCATTCAATCTTCTTCAAGCACGTATATTTACTCAACGATTAAATAAATTCTTTCATCAATTATGTCGTTTCAATTCTGTACCTTGGAATCTTTGGTTTTCCTGTGGTGTTGTATTTTCCGCAATATCGATGATACTAAGCATCTGTCTGCTGACACTTTTGGCTTATAATACTTTAATGCGCAAACCTATTGAAACCCAAGTCCTAACTCCAGTGGTAAGCATCAAAACGTACTTCACTGTCCTTTGTTAATAATGTAGTTACTTTTGGATGGAGATTTTAATCAGTGGCATATATGTGGTCAAAATTTTAAGTGTTATTTCACTGACACTCGTATTTTTTTCAAGAAGACATTGCGAAGTGGTCGCGCTATGTCGTGAACTGGCAGAAGTTAGAATTCAAGAACCATTGGATCGGGTCCCAGTGGTTCAATGGTCTACGAGCTCGCCTTCTAGCCAGAAGGTCCTGGGTTCGAACCCTGGTGGGTGCGTACAGATGAAGAGTCCCAAACCAGGACGAAAGAGCTGTCCAGCACTCCCAGGTGACATGGCTCAAAATCGTTCTCAGTGGCGCAGATGCATCCACTCCCTGTGACTTATTATCTCCAATGAAACTGTTTTGTATTTCTTTATTACTCCTTTGTCTCACACCTCTGCTCACTGTTTCTATTATGCTTTTCTTGTACTTTCTTCTCTTGCTTCGCGTGCTACACGGAATGTGGCGACTTGAACTTCCGCACATTTGTGCAAAGTTCTATGTCGAAAACAGAACCAGAACCCAGGTTTTCCAGTGGTTTTCTAACTGATGTCAGCTCATGGTGAAATCCTCCATACACTCATATTTTTATTCAGAGGATGATATTTTTTGCCTAGCTTTTAATTTCTCAAAACCTCATTCAAACGTTTAAGATATCATCAGATGAGTAGCATTAAACGCAAGGCATTTCACTAGAAGGTACATCACTGTACCTTTAAATGCTATGGGAAAGAAATCTAGTGGCTTCATGTAAAACATGTACGAGCAACATACATTTATACCTTTTCTCAATTTTCGTTCTACTCCTTTATCTTAACAGATTTGTCCTGGCATGAAATCATAATTAATTTTGAAGACGAAGATATTGGGATCTTGAACTGCCATATCACTATAAACCCTACTTTCCCGAAACATACTTCAATCTGCAATCCTAAGCACCGGGATCCTACTTGGTTGTCGGTTTCCCTTCTGAAGCAAAAATTTAGTGCATGAAGTTAAATGTTGATATTAACTTCTCGCTGCACATCATTTTTACCTTTAACCATGGTATTGAGTCTCAGAGTTCGTCTCACAATCTAATGTCTATAAGTATTAACACTCCAGTTTTTCCATTTTGCTTTATATATATATATATATAATTTGTGGTGTTTCCTCATTGAAATAATTTTGTGCTTTGATCAATGCTGTTTACACCTAATTGATTTAATGAGATAG